GAGGAGGAGGAGGAGGAGGAGGAGGAGTGCGAATGGGAATAAGATGATGGAGATGATTGAGAGGATGAAGGAAAGATGGAGCGGAATGTGGATGAGTTTGGGTGGGGGAGAGTGGGGGGAGGGGGGAGAAGGGGAGAGAGACAGATGGTCTGGCCCAGGTGTCCAGGTGGCCAGGAGGTGGCCGGCGGCCGGCGGAGGGGGGGTGATGGCGTTGGGATCGACCGTTTCGGTAGATGGTCGACCGAGGGACAGAGGGCGCCACTTGCTCGGACTGCTTGCTGTTCACTCTGTGCTCTGGCGGCGCTGTGGGCGCCCGGCGACGGCGATTGGCTCGGACGCGAGACAAAGGGGTGTGGAGGGCGCGGGGCGGGGGGGCGTGGGGGCGCGTGGGCAGTGAGAGTGTGAGAGTGCGAGAGTGCGAGATGAGGGAGGGGGGATGATGAATGTTGAATGGGGACGGGTGGGGGAAGTTATGGGGGGAGTGGTCGTGCACTTGACTAGTGTGCGCGTGGGCACTTGGACTTGTAATGTTGCGCGCGTCAGGGATGGCGTGGGCGGCGTGGGCGGCGTGAGCGATGGTCGATGCGACTTGCTAGAGTTGAAGGTTATGGCAGCCGAGGACGAGGACGACGACGACGGACGACGACGACGACAAGAGAAAGAGAGAGAGCGGTGACCAATTGACGTAGGTGCACGCACCACACGAGAGGCGCGAGAGGGTTGAGGGTCGCCGGGGTGGCGGTCCGAGCGCGGTATGAGGGTCGTGAGAGGAGGTGGTGCAGGTGGCCAGGTGGGTATGAGGCAATAATACTCTTGTACTCCTTGACCAGCTCGAGGAATGAGGCGGCGGCGACTTTGCTTGTAATTGCTTGGCTCCAGTCGTGGGGTCCGTCGCTTTTATCATCTCTCGCCTTGCCTCCTCACCTCCTCACTCCTCTTCGCACAGCAGCCGAGTGCCCGGTGAATATGGCCCGTTGCCCGTGGACCCGTCGACCCGTCGAGTGACGGGCGGCGCGGATCAATCCATCCCCTATCCCGACACCGATGGAGCCGAGCCGGTGCCGGTGGCTGTTGGATGTTGGATGTTGGGCAGGTTAGTGGTGGTGGTGGCTGTCGGCTGGATGCAGCCTAACGTTAGTGTCTAGTGTCTCCGGGCGCGGCGCTGTCGCTAATAAGCTGCAGGATGCAGAATGTAGTCGTGCATGTCGTGACGCGTCATATCTCCCCAAGTGGCCACGGGCGGCGGCGGCGACGGCGGCGGCGGCGGGGTGACGGAGGCAACGCCAGAAGACTCTATACCGGCCCCGGCGGCCGGAATGATCGCCCATCGCCCATCGCCCCAGCACGCCACACGCCACACGCCACACGCCGTACGCCGTACGCCGAAGAACAAGCGTGTTCTGCGGCTATACACAGCGGTATACCCGCGCCGGCGGTCTCTCCTCTCTGGCCAGGAGGCGCAAGAGCCAAGCGGACAATCGGGCCGGTCGCGCATATCGGGTCGTGCTCGCGATCTCGCAATGTCCAGCTCGCCACCGGCTGCGGTCTCAGGGCCCGCACGAGCATCAGTCCTTGCCACAGCTCTGCAGGCACTTGCCGATCCTGCGCCTGCCTGCGCCCGCAGCTGTGTCCCTCACGCTGCTCGTCGGCCGCTCTTACCGACCATGTGTATGGCGTGTGCGGGTGTACGTGGGTGTACGTGGGTGCGTGGGTGCGTGGGTGCGTGGGGTCGTGTCGCCGCGCAGTGCCCCCGCAGCGGTACCGTCGGACGTGGAGCGCCTCTGCTCGCCTGCTCGCCTGCTCAGTTGGAGTAGGAGGTAGGCATCTAGCAGCCAGTGGCGTCAAAGATTGGGTATCTCCCCAGTTAACCCAGTTTCATGTCACGCACATCTGCCGGCCGGCATCGGGATTTGGTATGCGGACGTGCCAGCGCCCCCGCCCTCCGCCCACTCATGCCACTCAGCCATGCAATGCAGCCACGCCACCGCCACGACCAACGACCCTACGTACGCCTACGACGGTCGAGTTGACGAGCGACATCGTCAGACGATGATCACCGGTCGCCGGCGCCGGCAAACCCCAAGCGGAGCATTCCTCCGCTACAAGCAGGAGATCAAGAGGAGGATCTACAGTAGCATGATCTGCGGAAGCAGTGAGTCACGGGATCACGGGGCACGGTGGGGGTTGAGGTCAAGTGGTCAGGTGGTCAGGTTGATGCATGAGTGCATGAGTGGTTGATTGGGCTAGGTCAAGGGAATGGGGGGGGGGGATGCATGGGTGTGGATGTGGATGTGTGGGTGTGTGTGTTTGCATGGACTCTTGGCTGGGAGAACGCGGTCAAAAACGTCAGCGGCATGAGCAAGGATGAAGGGATGAGCATGAGCCGTGAGCCGTGGCCGAGGGGGCCGAGGGGGGCCAAGGGGGGCCAAGGGGGACCGAGGGATCAGCAGAAGCCTTGTGATTGCGGGCATGGGCGATTGGGCGACGAACAAAACGAGGTCCGTGCGTATCCGACCATTTCAGTCTCTCCCATATCTCCATTCTCTGTAATTCTGTAACTCTTGGCCCCCGCCCCTCCTGTAGGTTATTAGCTTGGCTCAATCCGTCGGCTTGGTCGGGACATTCCCAAGGCGGTGGTGAGGCTTATTAATGGCTTATGGCTGAGTTGTGCCAAGTCACATGGCCATGGGCCATGTGCGGCATAAGGAAAAGGGCAAGCAAGCCATCAAGCGAGTAGTACAAAAGTTAATCTCCATCATTAGATCATTAAATCATTAGATCATTAGGATGCAAATGCCCCAATGTGTCACGCTTGGCTTTCTTCACGTTCCAGGACTCCATATCACTCGGAAACTCTACTGTATTAGCGGTTGGTCACAGGTCACTCTTGCACTCTGTCACTCCTCGCTATCCCCGCTTAGCACGTCCATCAGCATCTGGATCTTGGACCGCGAGTAGTATTATTAGTCTATGTACATCCACTGTACCTCCCAAGCCCCACTACCCCCAATGTAACTCACACATCACCCTCACCTGCCCTTTCTCTGTACCCTGCTCCTCTCTTCCGTCGGACCCAACCTCCTCCTCCACCTCCAGTATCCTCTCTCTCAAGATGCATCTAGTACACAAGTAATACACGTAGCAGCGCTGCTCCACCACACTCTCTTCCCTAAACACCCACCCGGCTCACACTCTTCTTCTGGTTGGAGAAACGAATCACCTCGCGCTTCTCCAACACAAACAGACATCGCTCGAGCGCATGTTGCGAGTATCCCTGCTGCGTCACAAACTCGCGCACAAGCGTCTGATACGCCACACTCCACCCGATCGGCAGACGCCGCTTAAGCTCACGCTCGATCCGCTCCATCTCCTCCTGCAGCTCGGTCCGTGTCATTCCGTCCACTTGTCCCGCTTCGACCGCGTCCATTGTCGAGAACTTGAACAGCCGGATCGCCTCCTCCACATGGTGCACGTCCGCACTTGGAGAGAGCGTGATCTTCGCCACCGACTCCGTGATGCGCACCATCGCTTCCAGCTGTCGTACTGTCAGCGGCACCGACGATCGCTCGTCGTTGTCCCGCTCCACCTGTTGCACCGTCTTGCGCAACGACACAAAGTGCGACGACAGCATCTCAGCTGCCTCCTGTGACAGCCGCGGGGCACAACGACTAATGTTAGCCCCACTCTCATCACCATTCAACTCACGACTTGCAGTACGCAATGTATCGCTTCATCTTGTCAATGTCAATCTCGCCCTGCGCTTCCGTGTCCTGCTGCCGGTTCATGTGAATGTCCATGACGTGCTTGGCAATCTTCATGTCACGTCCCTCGTTGTGCTCGTCCTTGACAATAAAGATCATGTCGAAACGCGACAGGATAGTCGTCTGGAAGTCGATGTTCTCGCCAGGGCTCTTCATGTCGTCATACCGGCCGAACACGGGATTCGCGGCTGCTAGCACGGACGTCCGCGAGTTGAGAATAGTCGTGATACCTGCCTTTGCGATCGAGATAGTTTGCTGCTCCATCGCCTCGTGAATAGCAACTCGGTCCTCATCACGCATCTTGTCAAACTCGTCAATGCACACCACACCGCCGTCTGCGAGCACCATGGCTCCGCCCTCGAGGTAAAACTCGCGCTGCTGTCAGTCGACAGTTTGTCACAACCCAACTCACAGTCACAGGGTCACGCTGCACGGAAGCGGTCAGACCAGCCGCAGACGATCCCTTGCCGGAAGTGTACACAGCCACGGGCGACACCTTCTCTACGAACTTGAGTAGCTGCGATTTGGCAACACCGGGATCACCGAGAAGCAAGACGTTGATGTCACCACGGAGGCGCATACCATCGGGGAGAATCTTCTTGCTTCCTCCCATCAACAGACAGGTGACTGCCTTCTTGATGTCGAGGTTCCCGTAGATGGAGGGCGCAACGCTCGCTGCGAAGCGGTCATACAGCGCTTCGGACCGAGCCATCTGCTGGAACTCTTCCTCCTCCTCGGGTGTAAACACGCGAGAACCGGGCGCGGATGCGAGCGAGGTGTCGAGCTCGATGCCTAGGACGCGCAGATACGGTTGGCGGAGTGCGGGAGCGCCGCTGCTGTTCTTCTGTTCACGTTAGTCATATTTCCAACGTTCCTCACGTTTTTCGACTGAGGGGCAAACGTCGAGTAGATCCCCGTCGCAATAATCCGCGAACCCGGCACAACACGGGCCGTCAAGTAACGTTCGGCTTGGAGCATCATATGGCGCGGCAGTTCGCCCACAGGAACCATGTCGGGAGCCTCCTGCAGCTTGATCATCTGCTGATCAATGAAGCGGCAGCGGTCGTGAAGAATAACGTATGGGTCGAGAGGGCAGTCCTTCTTTCCGTCCTGGGGCGCTGGCGCATCGCAGCGCCGCGGAAGTGCCGTCTTCTCCGCTCCCAGGCTCTGTCCAACCTTGACACTCTTGACCGACCGGCACGCTTTGCACTGCAAGTGCAGCTCTGTGGCGCGAGAGCTGAGCTGGGACGCATTGATCACGATACCGGGTAGACGCACAAGCTGCGTGAGCTTCTCAGCGGTGAGCTCGCGGAATTGAATCATGTTCTGTCCTGTCCTGATCGTGGCCTGCATCTCGGGAACGTTGTGAACAGCGTCCTCCGCGTTCTCTCCCCTCCCTGTGGGGTTGACGATGGCACGGGCTGCGCGCAGCAGGGCGGACTCGAGCTGATGTCAGCGGGGAAGAAGGGAAGGTACACACCAGAGGCATCATGTCGCCTGGCGTCTTCTGGCATCGCTGTGCCAGCTCGGGGTTGAACCGCGTGAGATCCTCAAGGTCAACCTCGAGCGTGTGGTGGTGCATCAGAAGCGCCGACTTGAGGCGATCACTTATGTCAGTTCGGAAGCAGTGCCGAAGCCTACCGGTAGATGAACTCGCTGCCAATGCGGAACGACGAGAGGAAGGTGTAGAATGCTGCCTCGGTCTCGGACGGCGAGTCGTGTGCCATGGGCACGTCCCGCAAGGGGACGGTGTAGACGCGGTTCTGCTCGAAGCCGCTCTGAATGTAAGCCAGCTGCGGTGATTCAAGACGTACCATTGTTGGTTGTGTGTGGAGAGTGGTGATGAGAAGATGGCTAGTTCAGGAAGGAGAAGTTGGGTGAGTGGGTTGATTGGGCGGCGCAAGGGGCGCAAAGACAATGAGACGCGTCGCGCGGCATCAATTCTCATGTAAGACGCGTCGAGGCACGGGCTATATATCTTTCCCCCCCCTTTAGCACACTTCGAGGTCCAGATTGTGTTTCTTTTCGGTCGATAGACAAGCTCAACCTTGCGGTACAGGTGCGGTGTACGTCCATGTAATGGCGGGGCTGCTATGTAGGTGCCGGACCCAAGCTACCATAACGAGATGCATACAGACACAGGTTGAGGACACAGAGCACCACAGTCATCGTCGGGGCGTCCCATGTCTGCTCTGCCACACTTGTGCCCAAACGCGAGGATTATCCCACAGACATTCTCAAGACCGTCGCAGGTGTCGAATCGTGTCGACACGGACACCACACCGCCAGCAAAATGAGTATCGACGACGTAGTCGGATGTGCGTCACGAGATCATGGGGTACAGGTCGGTCCGTCCAAGTAGTACAGATCGTTGTCCGCCCATTCTCCCGCTCTGAACCGAACACCTAGCCTAGGCATGTTGGTGTGCGCATCATCACTTACCAGCGGTAAACCGCTAGGCTATCGTGCCGACGGAAGATAGGGGATCTCTCCATTCTATGTTCGGATTGTCGATGTGAGGGGGTACTGGCAGGAGGAGCCCGAACCGTTGAGCCATCGCTTGAGCGCTTCAAGGGGGAGGATGCTCAGCGCTTACCTCACGGCAGCACACACTCAGACCACTTGTTGCGGCAATGAACCGAGGCGACGCCAAAGGGACCGACGGGGGGCGAATCTCACGCGAGTCGCTGGCTATCTGAGCGACCTGCGAGCGAGATCAAGGCGACTTGGCCGCCGCAACTAAGCTGCCGCTAAGCGCAGGGCTAATATACGCCGCCCATCAGTCGCGAGCGAGGAGCCGGGGGTGGCGAGCGCGGCCGCGAGTACCGCGAGCGTTGTAAATACGAGGGCAAAATGAAGCATGAGGTCGAGCCCCGTGGGGGCGGGCGCGGCCACAGGGGCGAGGAGCGCGTGCAAGTCAGGGACGGGGGCACCTGGTGGCGGCCTTGTCGGCTTCGTCATTCCGCTGGATGTCGAGGATGCTGGTGGCAATGGAGACGGAGGACGAGAGACTCAAGGTGATGAGAGATACGTCGGCTCAACAAGAGAAGTGACTTGTGCTTGTGGCCAAGACTAGGAACCGATCGTGGGACCAGGGACATTAAGTCCGACCCCTCCTGACCACTGGCCATCGGGCGTCAATCCTCCTTCGGTCACATCCAGAATACACAAGAGGACAGCATTTGCATCGCCACATGTGAGACAGGGCTGGGTCATGACGGACGGCTGCTGCTCGGCTCAGCTCAAGCTGACGGCATTTGGGTCTCGATCTGAGGCATGTGCAGCTGTCACGAGCATAAGCATGAACAGCTGAGGGGCATGGGTGGTCACGTTGCTCAAGCTCCTCAAGCCTCGGTGCCTGGCCGCAGATCTCCAATCAACTCCCATGCACTGATCTGCACTGGCCGTGCATCGCTCGCCTGAGCATCTTGTCATTTGGCTCCTCTTGCCTTTTGGCAAGTTTATCTCTCTTGTAAGGCGTCGCGAGAAAGCAACGTCTGAGCGAGGGCGCTACCCATTGCCTCCGGTGGGGCATCCTTCAGTAGCAACTAGGCTGCCTCCATTCTTCTCTACTCCCGCTCGACCTCGGGAGCTGGAACGACGGCCGGTTGCTCGGAGGCGCCACACTGAAGCGACAATGCTTAGCAGATCATCATCGTACCCGAGACCAAGCAGGTCGAGCTCCAAAGTATGGGCAGCGAGGCGTCGGTAGCTGTTCGCATATGCTCCGCCGTACCGCCGCGCCCCCCACGCCTCTCATACCAGCCACGGCCGTCCGAGTAAGAGCAACCCAAATCCCCCGCGTTGCCCCGTGGCGACGGGTGCACCGCTCCTCCGCTGGCGTCGTCGCTTCCGCACCGAGGACAATGTTCCGCAAACAGCTCCGCACTCTGTCTTCACCGCTTTCATATGCATGTAACGCGCTTCTCCATCGCGGTGGCTCTCGTCCCTCCCCTCTCCTACCTCCTTCGAGGCCAGAGAGGATCCGCAACTGCGTGCGCCATTTCTGCAGGTATATAGACGCATGTACCAGCATCTTTGGCCCCATCACGACCGCCCGACTATGCTTTCACTCCCCGTGCTCCTGCTCGCAGCGATCATCTCGGTTGTCCATGCCTGGGAATACCCCGAGATATCGCGAGAGGCCCTCCTCGGCGATCAGTCGCGCTACTGGGCTTCCTCGCGGCACTTCGATACCCAAGCCGAGCCCCAGGTGCGCGAATTCAACTTCGACATGTCTGTGGGGTACGCGCCCGTCGGCGGAATGGTGAGGCGCACGCTTCTCGTCAACGGCATGTCTCCCGGCCCCATCATCGAGGCGAATGTCGGCGACCAGATCGTCGTACACGTCCACAACAGCATGCCGAACGGTACGGCCGTACACTGGCACGGCATCCGCCAGGTCGGCACAAACTTCATGGACGGCGCCGCGGGCTTCACGCAGTGCCCGATCCCACCCGGGGGCGACTTCACGTATAACTTCACCGTCTTCGACTCCGGCACATACTGGTGGCACTCTCACGTCGAGCTGCAATACACGGACGGAGCGTTTGGCGGGATGATCACGCATGCGAAGGACGACCCACACAAGGTACCGGCGTACGACGATGACCTTATCCTCCTCATTGGCGACGTCTACAACACGCCAACACCGGCGCTCAGCTGGCGTTACTTTAACACCTTGTACACCACGTCTCCCCTCGCCGACCCCCTTCCGGACGGTGGGCAGATCAATGGCGTCAGTCAGGCGAACTGCGCCTACATTCCGACAAACGCACCCCCCGCGACCCCTCCGGTCTTGCCATACTACGTGCCGCCTCCCGACCCCAACGCCCCCATTTATCCCACCTCCAACGAGTGCGGCGACCATCCCACCACCTACTGGAACGTCACGGCCGAGCCCAACAAGACTTACCGCCTCCGCCTCGTCAACACCGGCACCCACACCGACCAAATCTTCAGCATCGACGACCACGACCTCACTGTCATTGAGATCGACGCCACGCCCGTCGAGCCGTACCACACCAAGCGTGTCCGCCTCACTGTCGGCCAGCGCGCCTCGGTCCTCATCCACACCGACAAGCCAGGAGCCCATTGGATCCGAAGCGCGCTCGGCCTCGACCAGATGGCTGCTGGTGGACCCAACGTGTCCAACACCACTCTCGCTGTGCTGCGCTACGGCTGTGATGAGAACACCATGCCGTCTCTTTCGCCCGAAGACGCCGTCCACACCACCGGTGGTCTCGTGTACGGCGATGGCGGCCCGGGAGAGCCCGGCAACCCAGCCGAGCCCAGCTGGTCAGACAAGGCGCCTACCGTCGGCCCCTTGACCCGTTTCGTGCCCGTCGGTACACCCGCCCCGCCGCCCTCCACGCAGACAATCTACACCGAGCTCAGCGTCGGGTACCCACCCCAGGGCCTGCGCATCCAGACTAACAATCGCTCGTGGACGCCGATGGAGGGCGCCGATCACACCGCCGCCATCTTCAAGGTGCAGGATGGCCAGGAGATCGGCAACGGAATCCACGGCACCCAGTTCAACATGATCAATACTGATCCCGGCGCTGTCATCGACATCATTATCCAAACCCCCTACGGCCCCACGCACCCCTTCCACCTCCACGGCCACAATGTGTGGGTCATGGCACAGGGGCAGGGCAAGTTCGAGGGCACGACCAACCAGCTGCCCACCGAAAACATCATGTACCGCGACGTTTTCGTCGTGCCGGGGAGCAAAAAGGGAGCCTACCTTGTTATCCGCTTCAAGGCGGACAACCCGGGTGTGTGGCCATTCCACTGCCACATGCAGTGGCACATGATGATGGGTTTGCTGTCGACATTGACTTCGTTGCCGGACCAGATGACCTGGGACATCCCGGGGCGCGAGTTGTGCACAAGTGCACACTAGTTTGCGGTTCAGCACACTCGTTTAGGACACGGGACAGGAACTGGGAAGTGAGCAGTCGTTGCGATCACTGGATAGTCGAGGGGTTAGGACAATTGGGTTGCTAGTATCCTAATGCATACATGTGTTCCAGGACGAACGGCGGTTCCTCGACGCCTGCTTCTGAACCAAGCAGGCAGGGTATGCCCTTCTTCGCTCCGTGAGTGTTAGTCATGGCCAGCGGAGGCGACGAGGATGAGTGGATGAAGATGAGGCCAAGATGGAGATGACCGAAGACCGAGACCTGCCGACTGGTGTGCCGGCTGGGCCGGCTACTTATCTGCCCGGTGTCATGGTCATGCCCGCCCCGCCCACCGTCTCGGTCTCGCTCTTGATCATCTATAATCCTCGTTCTCGCGCGTCCCCAGCGCTCATCGCATCCACAATGGCGCCCATCGTGACCTATCCTCCATACAACCAGCCGAGCGTCGCGCCCTCGCCTACGGTCCAGCCTCCGCGCGAGCTGCTCGCCCTCCGTCGCCCACCTCCCTCCACCGCGCCCGCTCCGCCCGCGCGCCCATCCCTCGCACCTCCTCCGAAGGGATACACGCGCACGCTGCATGCTGCGCCGGCTGCGTGGCCCAAGACGCTGAAGGAGAGCGTGGGTAGCTTTTCTCGGCAGGCAGACCCCTTCGGCCCCGTGCCCGCCAAGGAGAGCAAGGAGGAGCGCGCGGCGCGCATCGTCCGTGAGAAGGACGTGAGCTGCGGGCGGCGCAAGGACGCGACGTACTGGTCCATCGAAGAGGCCGAGGCCTCATCCCAGCCACCGCAGTGGCTCGCCGTCGAGCGGTGGCACCGAGACGTGCCCGACAACGACGGCATCACGCTCGTTGTCGCACATGCCAACGGTCTCCAGAAGGAGCTGTATCACCCCATGATCGCGAAGCTGCTCCAGAAGTCAGAGCCCGGGGCCTTGTTCGGAACAGGCGCCCCGCTTGACCCCGCAGTGATGGTGCCGATCATTAACGACGTCTGGTTCCTCGACGACGTGCACCACGGCGCCAGCGTGGACCTGAACGCTGGCAAGCTGGCGAGCATGTACGCGTGGGCTGATTGCGCGCGCGACTGCCTCAACTTTGTGAAGCACGTTCTTCCCACTGCTGGCGGCTCGTACCAGATGAAGTGGAGCGATGGTGTCACTGCGCCTCCGGTCATCGGCGTCGGCCACTCCATCGGCGGCAACGCCATGGTGCAGGCTGCGCGTGCTGCGCCAGGATGCTTCTCCGCACTCCTCCTACTGGAGCCCATGGTGAGCTCACTCGCAGTTCTCGCTAACAGCAGTGCCAGCCGGCTCTCGGCAACGTCCAGGTCAAGATGGGCAACCCAATCGTGCAGGGCGCGCTGAAGCGCCGGTCCGAGTGGCCCTCGGTCAAGTCGGCCGCCGAGAGCCGCACCAACCCCATGTTCAAGACGTGGGACCAGGACGTCTTCGATCTGTACCTCCAGACCTCTCTCGTGCCGACAGGCAACGGCGAGGAGGTGACGCTCGCGACGCCCAAGTGGGCCGAGGCGGCCATTTTCTCGGACCCCGAGGGCCCACAGCGCGGATGGGACGCCCTGCCCGAACTCCGCTGTCCTGTCGGCTTCGTGCTTGGCGGCGACCCGATGTGGCTCGGCGGGCCCAAAGTCGTTCCCGAGATTCCCTGGCGCGCACCCCGCAGCCGCAACGAGCGCATCATGGCGGGCGGACATCTCCTGCCCCAGGAGAGGCCAGCAGAGTGTGCGGACGCGGCATGGCGCTTCTTCACGACCCTGGCGGCAGGCCAGTGGGATGCGACGGCGAGCAAGCTGTAGTTTGCATGCGACCATAGAAAATACATGCATCAGTCTTAGTCTTATTATCACGGCACAGCTCAGCAAGGAGAGAGGGGTACAGCCAAGCAAGCAGAGGTCGGTGGATCGCTTGAACTCTCAAACATCAGGCGATCGGGGTTCGGTGATCGGTCCGACAGTGTGTGCACGTGCAAGAGGGCATCCTCCACTCGGCCCTCTGTTTCTCCGGCCTACATTCATTTCGCCTCATTGTATCGCTCTCTCTGTCTCGTTCACCTCCGTCTGACACGCCCAGACCGTACTTGTGACCGAGCAAGTGCAACAGCAGCAGCGGAACCGGCCCCCTCCGACCGCCCTAAAGCCAATGAGATGCGACCGATACTCAGATGTGGCGGCGATAAGCCCTGAGCTGCAGCTGCCGATAAGCAAGTGCATCCACCCAGCTTCACCCTCGTGCGCCTCGCGGACCTCGCCGGCGGCAACGTCAGCCTCGCCAGGTTACTCCCCACCGCCTGATCGCGGGGCCGGGCACCCGAGAGCCGCCCTCCGCTCCTGATATGCATCAGCCGGGAAGGCGCGGGCGCGGGGGAGGTATGCCGTGCCACAAAGCCCACCTGATCAGTGGCTCGTCGGTGACTCGTCGGCATGTGCTAATTCATGACGCGCACCACTTACAGCACTCGCAAGATCATACAGATAGCGCCGAAGCTTATTTCTTTCTGACAAGTGTGCTATCTTGCGCGCGAGCTCGGGCGTTTGCGGACAATTGTCGTTCACAGCGGAGAAACGAGCTCGCAGCGGTCTGGATCTTCTCTAGCCTCGGTCCTCCGTGGAGTGTGGAGCCAAGAGAGACGAATAAGAGGACCGCGCTTCATTGCAGCTAGGAGCATTGACAGAGATAACGAGTCTGAAAAGGAAGGTTGTGAGGCATACATAAGAGTGAGAGACATTCGTTGCGGCCTCATCTTCCTCTTCCAAACACACACTCACAGATTCATTCAACATGACGACCGCAATCCTACCGCAGGGCGCGGGCTATGGCGTCGTCGTAAGCTTTATGCGAGGACGAGGCTAACGTAGATCGGCATGGGCCTGTTCTTCAGCGCCTTCATCGTGCTCATCACCAAGATCCAGACTCGCTACACACGGTGGAAGCCAACGTCGGCAGAAGAGTTCAACTCCGCCTCGCGCAGCATTCCGCCTGGACTCATCGCAGCTGGCATCGTGTCGGCATGGACGTGGGCGGCTACCCTCCTTCAATCCTCGGCCACGGCGTACAAGTTCGGAATCTCGGGCCCATGGTGGTACGCGGCGGGCGCAACGGTACAGGTTCTTCTCTTCGCGATGCTCGCGGCCAAGCTCAAGCTCAATGCGCCGTACTGTCACACGTACCTTGAGATCATCCATGCTCGCTGGGGCAAAGCAGTGCACATTGTCTTCCTCTTCTTTGGGCTTGCGACCAATATCATTGTCTCGACCATGCTCATCCTCGGAGGCAGTGCCACCGTTACCGACCTTACAGGCATGAGCACGGTCGCCGCGTGTTTCCTCATCCCCGCTGGCGTCGCCATCTACGTCCTCATCGGAGGCATGCGTGCCACACTCATCGCCGACTTCACCCACACCCTTGTGTTGTACTGCATCCTGGCTGCCTTCGCGCTGGTCGTGTATGCCAAGAGCGACCTCATTGGGTCACCGCGGCGTATGTGGGAGCTGCTTCACATCGCTGCGCAGAACCATCCCATCGCCGACAACGCGCAGGGCAGCTACCTCACTCTGCGAAGCAAGAGCGGCATCATATTTGGCGCCATGAACGTCATCGGCAACTTTGCAACTGTTTTCAACGATCAGGCTTACTGGCAGCGCGCCATCGCATCGCGCCCCGAGACGAGTGTCAAGGCGTTCCTTTGGGGAGGTCTTGCCTGGTTCGCCATTCCTTGCACCATTGCCACCTCGCTCGGTCTCGCCGCCGTGGTTCTCGCCTGGGGCCCTGAGCAGCTCATCACCCTCACCTCTGCCGAGGTCGGCGCCGGCCTGCCGGCTGTCAAGGCCGTAGGCGCGCTCATGGGCAAGAGCGGTGCTACTGCCATGCTTATTCTTCTCTTCCTTGCTGTCACTTCCGCCGCGAGCGCCGAGGAGATTGCCGTGTCCAGTCTTCTCACGTACGATGTCTACGGGACATACATCAACAAGCGCCCGACAGAGCGTCAGATCCTTATTGCTTCGCACTGCGCAATCGTTGGATACGCAATCTTCATGGGCGCCATTGCCACCGGATTCCACTACATCGGCATCAGCATGGGTTATCTTTACCAGCTAATGGGGTGCATCATCGGCTCCGCCGTGGTTCCCGTGGCTAGCTGCGTGAGCTGGCGCCGTGCGAACGGTACCGCAGCGGTACTGGGCGCGGTGCTCGGCTTCGCTGCGGGAGTAGCCGGCTGGCTAGGACTTACGGCGCATCTCTACGGCACAATCAACGTCGAGACCACCTACACCGATTACCCGATGCTTACGGGCAACCTGCTCTCTATCGGAGTTGGTGCTATCGTCACCGTCATCGGCTCACTTATCTGGCCCGCCAGTTTCGACTGGGAGGTGACGCGCGCCATTAACGCCGACGCAGGCCGCAAAGCTCAGGCTCTGAACGCAACCTCAGTGTCGGAGCACAGCTCGGTGACAGACGTGCCCCTCCCCTCGCCGGGCGAGAAGAAGGACAGCGTCGAGAGTGTGGTCGTGGACGCAGAGGCTAGGGACATTGGCGACACAGAGGCGCAGGACCACAGCGACGACGCGTCGCTGCGCAAGGCATTCCGCATGGCTGCGTACTGGGCCATCAGCCTCACATTCATCCTCATTATCGTGGTGCCCTTGCCGCAGTTCTTCGCGTCGTACATCTACTCAGAAGCTGGCTTCACCGCGTGGGTGTGCATCGTGCTGGTGTGGCTGTTCGCGGGCATGATTGCTGTGGGCCTCTACCCACTCTACGAGGCACGCGCAGGCCTCGCCAGTGTTTGTCGCGGAATCTACCGCGACTTGAGGAGGAAGTAGAGTTTGCAGGGAATGACTGTGGGAACTGGGACGGAGCGGACGGGGACCGAGGAGGCCGTATGGTCTAGAGATATGGACACGCAGTGAGTTGTAGGGTCATGTACGTCACGCATTGGCTGGTGGGATCTAGTACGATGCGGGTTTGAATTGATGACTGACGCGACAACCAAAATTGTGGAATGATGAGTGGACATTTATTAGCCTCGGAGCTGTGCCTGCGATAACACGGTGACGTGAGTGGAAATTCCAAGTGAGACACGAAACCACCTGGTCACGCGCCACGCACGCCATGTGGCCGCACCCCAGCCTCCATGTTCCGCACCTGTCATATAAGGGATCGTCAAACGATGTTGTTCTTCTTCTCTTCCTAATGTTGTCATATACCAGGGGTTCGAAGCGTGTAACACTACGACATGTGCGGCTCAAACGAGCGCCAGCCCATGGTCGATGAGGAGGAGCTCTCAGCGGACGAAAACGACGCCAAAAACGACAAGCATATTGAGAGCGAGACACGCACGAGCTGGTCGTCGCCCTCCCCTCCCCCGCTCACCCCGAGCGTGACCCCCAACTCTTCCCACCCTTCCGCCTCGCGCAGGTCCTCGGATGATCTCTCGGCATCGCTTTCGACGCTCTCTACTCGTTCCGAGCACTCATACGTCACCCCGAGCAAGCTCACGGGCATGGCTGTCCGCCCCTTCCCTCGGACTGACTGGAGCAGCGTTACCTTCGCGGATCTGAACGCGCCGTTCTGGACCCCCAAAGAGGAGACCGAGTGGGCCGGCCGCGAGGCCAGCCGTCGCTGGGCGATGGCTCTCGAGTCTGGGGATCTCAATGACCTCACCATCGCCGATTTTGGGGTGGCGGTGTTTGACCACGTCTGCGAATTGTGTGTTTCCTCCCGTGCCGTCCTGACAGCAGCGTGCAAAGCAACCGGAAAGCGCAGTCCCACCAAGGCGCGCACGGATGGACGCTCCACACAAACATCGCCATTGAGTTCAGCTACAAAGCGGCCGAGTGGCGCCTGCGCGAGGTGTTCTCGCGCGATCCCCGCGTGGGCGGGTTCTTTGATCGCGGCCGCGTGTATTCGTTTGTTCGCGCGGCCCTCAACTGGCAGTGGGTGGGAGGCGCGCATGGAGGCGGTCGAGGTGGACCCATGGACCGCCCGCAGCTTGTTCCGTTCGATCGTAACTGGATCGCGCGATACCTTCCTGGATACCCTCAGCCGATCGGTCGTCGGGGATCGGGCGAAATGGAGAAGGAGAAGTTTGGGCCCCAGCGGAGGCTGTCAGATGACTGGGTTACCATTGGACACTGCATGACCCGCCACGCCGACCAGTGCAATTGCTACGGCGTGCGGACTACGACTTAGGTGCTGTGCACTATGAATGGTGTTGTTGTACTCCTGGGAAGGCTTGGGCGAAAGTTTGGGGATTTTTTTGTGTACTCCTAGGGAAAGCAGATGCGGGGTGCGGAATTCTCATGTGAACTGGCGGCATCACTCGTGCGACCTGGCCTGGAGCCTGTCAGAACATGACGTATGTAGGGGGCGCAGCCCATTCACTGCTCGCATTGTTTGCGCGACCAAATACGAATTGCACTAAATCGCGCCTAAAGTCTGTGTTTGGGACCCGGCAGTGTGAGACATTTGAAGGGCGTGTCCCGAAGCGGCAGCTGGCCTTTGAGTCTCCTCTTTGGGGGGGGGTTGCTGAGTTCCTGCAGCTGGATCATCAAGTTCCGCTGCCATGGTGCGTGGTTTGAATCCTAATTCATCTCCCGGGCGACGATTTGCCTAGAACTTGCGCCACAAAACATTGTGCAGGCAGTGAGATTGTCCTGCGATGATTGATCGTGCAGCCCGAAGCCGAGCGTGGAGGAAACCGTGAAACGGCGGAAGCGCAGAAGTAGGCGACGAGAAGCTGCGCTTTTCAGGCGGTGGCGAGAAGCTACATTGTCGGCCAAGGGGGCACCGGTCAGCGGCGGCACGACCCGCTCAGCCAGCCCTATATAACTGTCCTCCTTGCGCTTCACTTGGACAACTCGTCACTTCCCAACAACTAGAGTCTTGAGCATCACATATCTCCCACGATCTCGACCATCCCCTTCCTACCCTTGACCCAAGGCGATCAGGATTGAGATACCAGGACCTACCTGGCGAACGCAGAAGCACTGATTCTCGAGCGCAAGCCTCTCAACATCCCTCTCGTACAGTACAAAGAGTTGTAGCCTTCCGCATCGCTCCATATCACCGGGTGCACCCTAACGTCACCGCGTATGCCTTCCGCATCGAACGACTGACACGCCGCGCTCACCGCGAGTCGGATGGTCTGTTCCGCAGAGCCATGCGCCAGACTACCCTCGCTCAAGTCCAGCTACAGACACACCTCGAGCGTGGAGGCGCCCCGGTAAACTCGCAACTCGCCGGACATGAAAGTGCCTCAGCCTAGAGGGTTTCCGCGTCCGCGTTCTCGGGGGATGCTGTCTGTGTCCCTGTAGGGACGGGCTATCCATTGGCTTGGCCGTGTCTTCGACGGCCGGCGTCGACCGTCTCTCGGCGATCCAAGATTTCGATTACGGATCCCTACCCGGCCGCGCCTGCAGCAATGAGAATTCCAGCCCCGCTCGCCTTCTCCGCATCTATGTGCTCTCTGATCTGGCGAGTGGGCTAGACTATGGCACGGAGCAGCAGCCGCTCAAGCACCTATAGCATGGTGTAATTCCCGATCGCCCTCCTCATTATTGGGGAAAGGTTGCGGGGAAAAGCATGGTGGCGACCTATGCTGTCAAGACAGCATTGTTCGACCACTCTTCTCCGTGGAGACTCGATCATCGCAGGTCTGGTCTGTTCTTTTTTTTCCGAGTTTTTCTTTGTTTTTCGATGCAGTATGAATGGGCGCACCGCCTACTGCTTTGTGGACTAGACGGAGATTTCCTTGACATAGCTTAAAGCGTCGCATGTTGCCTTGAATGTGTGGAACGCATGCACAGGTTCGATGCTCATGTACTCACCCCGTGTAACGTCCGGCGATCAGTCAACGAAAAGGTGGCGCTATGAGAAGCGCCATTGACAGTGGCAGAAGCCTTAGAAGAGGACTCGAGCGGGTAGCCTGCCCTCGTGAAGGTCACAGTTGCTGAGAACGATCGAGCATGCAGCGGGTTACATTGTGTATGAAGGCGAAGGCACCTGTGCGGCCTCTATGACCAGCTGTCCCGTGTCAAGCCGCGAGCCTCGAGCGTCTGGGGGCGGATAGGGATAGGGATCGGGACGACAGTTTGAGTAAGATGCGCGGCATGACGGATTCGGAAGTCCTCTACCGTCTCATCGCTAAACTGAGGCCAGTCACAGTCGAGCTCTCGCGGGGTCCTGGGAACGGGGGGAAGGTTGTCAGGGTCGGGAAAGTACCGGTCAACCCAGGAGTCGTGGAACTCGCAGTCGTCGCGGGGGAGCTCGTTGGCGATGTCGTTTACGGGCTCAAACAGGGTATTGATGGCGGCGCGGACGAAGGGGCGCACGTTTGCATGTATGAACCTGGCTTTGACATCGTCATTGTTGACATGCGCGTGAACGGCATCGTAAGCCTGCATATCAGCCGGAATCTCAGAGACCTATCTGCGGGACACTGAGGAGGCGAAGAGGGAAGGTGAACAACTCACAATCTCAAAGGCGCGCGCAATCACGTCCTCCGTGGAGTGAATCCACGCCGCTGCCGTCTGTGTTTCGTCCTCGGGGCGCGCGAGGTATCTGATCCTGCTATTAGCGCTTGCTCGACTCATGCTCACATCTCTCGGGCCTTGTCGAACACAGCGAGGGCAAAGTCCACCTCATCGAGCTCATCAAAGTAGTTGTCATGGATGGCCCACACAAAGCGCTTGCTGGCTGCACGACCTGCCCATAAAGCCTTCTCGCGTTGCGTACACAACAGCACAAGCGGCATGGGGAACTCAACGCCGTCCCAGTTCCGGCAGGGGAACTCGAGGATGCGAGGGAAGGCGGCTATGCGGGGCATGGCCGGGGTTTGCTCTTCGGACCGCTCGGACTCGGACGTTGAATTGAGCATCGGGAGGCGGAAGAAGAAGGGCGGCATGGCACAGGTGTTACTGGGTGTCGGAAATGACAGTGGAGGAGAGGGAGGGGGTGTTGGTTAGGAGAAGAAACACCAAGAGAGGAGAAATGATCGGAGTGAGAGAGTGAGAGAGTGAGAGAGTGAGAGAGTGAGAGAGTGAGAGAGTACTGTAAGTTTATGGTGGAGCAAGAGATGAGGTGAGGGTGTGTGGGGAGTTGCAGCTCTGCGTTGTGGGGGGAATAGGAGAGGGAAGGTGGTACTGGGGTGCAAGTGTGTCTCCAGCCACTCCATAGTCCCCACGGTCCTAAGCTCCTAGGGAAGTCTGCACCCACCACTTATACTCTCATCTTTACGCTGGTGTCGTATTTGGTGGAGGGGGAGGAGGAAAAGGAGGGGATTGGAACGATGAGCCGGAGGCGGACAAGAGGAGGGAGGCAAAGCTCGCACACGATCAACGTCCGCATACGCCCTGCAAGAGTCCCGGTGAGCGTTCCCTAGTCTGCAGCTCACGGGGAGGCACAATACAGAACTCCTATAGTTGTTTCAGGCGTTGTAAAAGTATTCATGACAAGAGGAGGTGAGGTGGGGTTTGCGGATGCTAAGAAATGTCAGAATATTGCACGCATGAACAGTGGCGCCTAATCAGACAAGAAGAGCGACGGCCGCGAACAAGAGCGTGGCGAAGGGTGTGGCCACCTTGGTGGCCCTTGAAGCTGAGGGGCGCTGGGAGGCGCCTGCGGCGAGGGCTGAGCCTGATGCCGAGGCCCTGGATGCTGAGGCGGAGCCGGAGACCGTTCCGGACTGGTGGTTGGAATGGGTGCCGGAGGGGGCGCTGACGCTCGAGTCGATGCTAACGCTGGCGGCGCTGGATGTGGACACGGAGGTGGAGGAATTGGCAGCGGGGGCGGCCTCGATGGTCGCCAGCGTGCCGGAGAGGTAGTCAATTGCGCCAGCCTGTCGTCAGCCCCACCTGTGGGCGTGCTGCTCACCCAATTATCCTTGTGCCCCGACCACACCATCATACCCGTGCCGGGATATCCGTGTGCGGCAGCCTGGGCAATACACGCGCCGTTGTCGGCTGGGGTGGGAATCTGATCGGCCGAGTTAGACGTCGCCAAGTCGGCGTGATCCCAGAGCCTGCCAACGGTAATCTGGGACTGGGAAATGCCGCACATGGTAGCGATCTGGCCGAGGGAGAGGAAGGCGGGGTCAGACGAGTTCCAAAGCGTGTTCTGCGTTAGCTAGCAGGGGGATTGACGCACCTCGCACGTGTTCCACGCCCCCGCTTGACCATTGTACAGCTGCAGCTGGTACCAGGTGATCGTGTCGCCGACGGCAGCGTGCAACTTGCAGTAGACGCTGTCCTGTCCGCCGAAGGCCGAGCCGTACATCCAGGCGGTAGGAGTGGAGGAGATGGGGGCGCCGGGGAGCTGGGAGGCGAGTTCGGTATGAAATTTAGTTAGCCAGTCTAGGGAGAAGGCGTGGTCATTCTGCAGCGGGGTGAAATCTGGGGTCAGTCAACTCGATGAATGCGAAGTAGCTGCAGGGAAGACTCACCCTCCAGATCGATATCCACGCCGGCGACGGCATACTTTCCAACCCAAGCGGCGATACTCTTCGCCGTAGCCACTGGATCAGTCTTCGCCGAAATGACCTTATCTTGCATCAGCTACTCCTCTTCGCCGTGGCGCACCAGCATCGCCAAACACGGACACCATCAAGGTGATCCCAGCGGCGCGGTACGCTTCGAGGATACTCTGGCGCTGCGCGTCCGTAAAGCTCTCCCAGGATGCGGGTGTCTGGGGTGAGTTATTTTAGATGGAGGCTCACGGCTTGCGCGCCGTCCGTCTGCCAGAAGGCCATGAGGACGCGGTTGTAGGGCTTGATTTGGGCGGGGGAGGGGAAAGTGTCGTATGTGTATGCGTCTGGCATTAGTGGGAAGGGGGGTGGGAGGGTGGAGGAACAGACCATTGAGATAGAGACTATAGTGTGGAGCGGAGGGGGCGCGCTTGACCAACCCGGCGGAGGTGAGGGTGAGAGTGAGGAGGGTAATGATCGTGGGGAGAAGCATGACTTCTGCGGAGGTGGAGTAAGAGGAGGAGGAGGAGGAGGGGGGCGAAGAGGAGAGAGAGTGAGTCAAACAAGATGGAAGAGAGAGAGAGAGAGAGAGAGAGAGAACGATGCATGAGCGCGAGCACACGATGAGATGTCGACGACGGAGAAAGGAGGATGGTGCGTGCATACGTGCATCGAGCAGCGCGAGCAGGGCCAAATGGGTGCCCAGGACCTATTTTAGGATCGCCCAGCGCGCCCAGACGCGTCGGGTGGGTGTCTCGGGACCAATTGACTGCCATCAGCCATTCGTATGTTACGGAAGCAAACGGTGTACATCACCCAAGGCGCGCTCGACTTGAGATGGGGTCTTTTCCAATGGCGGAAGACGTCGGCTGTGGCCTCCTCCCCTGAGCATAGGAGTTTCACGTGACATGCATCGGAAGGCAGAGAGATGCCCGAGTGCCGAGTACCGAGTGCCGAGCATTTGTGCCATGTGCCAGGCTCTCGACTCGTCGGCAATTCATCTCCGTTTCCGACGAGCAGCGGCCAGCAGCGGCCAGCAGCGGCACGGCCTATCGGCTGCGTCACATTCCGAACTCTCCGATCATCCCATTTGGCCATCCAGCCACTCAGGATTATGCCCACTGCTCTCCATTCATCCCCCCACACTCCCCACACCCCCCCGCACTAATCGTAGTGCTCATGCACATAGGCTCCATCATCTCGTCTACAGACGGAGCCAAGCCCAGCTGCCAGACTACACAGGCGGCCACCTGGCCGCGCCATTCTATCAGTGCTACAACGTGAATTACATGGGGGTCTACTTGGTGATAAACCCGAGGTAGTCGGCCACGAGGAGGGTGACCATGCTATGGGGGTTAGCGTTTGCTTTGTTGCCCAAGAGACTCACGCATGGGGCGCAATGCGCACATAGTAGGTTCCAAAGCCACGGTAAAAGCGCGTAATGCCCTCCTGGGCCGCGACCTTGCGGAAGCAGTCAAACATGCCAGTGTACTGCAGCTGGCCCTGGGGACCCTTGGTCTGCTTCTGGAGACGCGTCTTGACAAAGTCAAAGGGGAGAGAGAAGAACGAAGCGAAGAATCCGGCGGCGGCAGAAGCGGCGAGGGTCTGGGTCTTGACCGACCAGTCGGTGCGCTCCTTGAGCTGAGCCTTGGCTTCAGAGAAGAAGGCGAGCTGACCAAAGTTGAGGGCCATGGCACGGACGACGGTGGGGAAGCAGCCGGACCAGAGAGCGGTGACGCCCTCGTTTTTGGTGATGCGGACGAGGGCGTCAATGACGCTCTTGTAGTTTGCACGCTCGGCTGGGGGCTTGAGGCCATCAGACTGCATGCGGATGAGGGCGAGGTCACAGGGGTTTCCGACAAAAGCGGCGAGACCACCAGCAGCAAGACCGGCACCTGCACGCTCTGCGAAACCGACCGAGGTGCCCTTTTCCGTTGCCTGGGCGTTGAGGGTCTTCATAAAAGTGTCAAAGATGCCGAGACGGGCGGTGGTGTAGATGGCCTGGCGGAGGAGACCGGCGGAGAGACCAGTGTAGAGGTCGAGGAACTTGCCGGAAGCGAGGAGCTGGCGAGTGACGCCGATGGCGGTGGGCTTGGGCCCACCTGCGGTACCCTCACCTGCGAGCTGAATGCGGACCTTGATCATGTCGACGGGCTGGATGACGGTGGTTGCAACCATTCCGGAGATGCCGCCGTTGACGAAGGGGAGTGCAGCGCGGACGGCGGGCTTGTGGAGGAAGTCATTTTTGGTGGTAGTAGAGTCGGACATGGCGGTGGGGGGTTAGGTGGGAGGAGTGCCAGACTGAGGAGGACGACGAGGAGGACGAGGAGGAGGAGGAGAAGAAGAAGAAGAAGAAGGAGGATGGATGAGTGAGTGAGTGAATGAAAGAAGTGTGGAAAGAGGAGGATGGGATGTAGGTAGTATATGGTGGTGGTGAGGAGAGAGAGGGGGACGGCGGATGAGCAACCGATCCGTCCGCGACGGGGTTGTCATCATTCTCAGCGCTCAGCTTCTCCCAGCCGTCACCCCACGCGGCATCGCCCCCCATAAACCCCACCCAGGCCACCCGAGGTATAGATCACTCGGCTAACGTCCACTTGCCCAGGCACCATCTCTCCTCTCTGCCTGGGGCGGACCTGATTCCTCCCCTCTCTCTCTCTCTCCCCCTCCCATCATCATCCCCACCACTACTACTGTACAACCGGACCCTCGGCGTCCCAGTATTCCCGTTCCGCCTTGGTCCGTCGACGACCATGCATCCTCCGCGGGGCCCACCAACCACGCATCGCTCATCGTCCATCGGAGCATCCGTCCTTGTTTCTCTACTGTAGTCGCCGAGCGGAGATCTCATATCCGCTCATCTACCCCGCACACCCGGCGGGATATCGGCATAAGCCTGCGAGCCTGCAGTCAGAGGTGCGGATTGCGGATTCTTGCAGGCATTGCAGGGTAAAAACACAGCTAAATTCCAACGTTGCCTCGACCTTGTTCGATCACGGACACCCGTCTCTCGGGCTCGGTATGTGTGGCGCCGAGGCCGATGCCGAGGCCGATACCGAGGCCGGCGCCGTGTCCTCCGCTGGTCTAGTCGAGTCGAATCTCCCAACCTGGCTTTTCGCCGAGCATGCCTCTCTCCCGCCTGGCAATAGCCCAGACGCCAGCCCCACCCACCATCAGCCTATCGGTATTTGGCCGACACCCATCCGCCGCCGCCCCTTCCGCCGTCCTCTTCTGCCCTGCCCTCCGCACCCCGCGGGGCCCATATCTCTCGTCTCGTCTCGGCGACCGCCCGCCCGCGTCCGCGGACGTCTTCAGGGCAGCGGGCCCGGCGGATCTATTCCCACGCCGGATATCCAGTCCAGCTGGTTGTTGCAGCAACTGGGGCCGGGGCAGCGCGATGGCAGGTGCCGACCGCGCCGACGCCGCGTCGAGATCTAAACATCAAGACGCGAGATACGGCCGTGCGGTGGCGTTGTTGTACAGTACAGTACATAGATCTGGGAGAGGCAAGCGAGGTGGCGAGGCGAGAAGAGGAGAGGAGAGGAGAGGTAGCTCGGTTGTTGATATCGGGTGAATGGAGAGGTTGGAGAATGACTGGCGATCAAGCGATCAGGCGATGGGAAAGGCGAGAGATCTCGCACGGACAACGCATACGCGCATTATTATTAGTTTCGGATGCGTGTGCGGCGTGGAGCCAAACATAAGCTCAAGTTCCAGTTCCATCCGTTCCCTCTCTCCTTCCTTACCTTGGATTCCATGTGCTCAGCCTCAAAAGGGAAAGGAACGTCAAGAAGGTCGCTCGCCGGCAGGATCGAACGCTGGTCATAAAGCCATCGCCAACACACTTCTTCTCGGCCAGAACCATTCGGCATAGCCCGGCATGGCGGCATTGGTCGCAGGATACTGAGCTTGTCAAGAGCGAGACTAAGCACCGATGCCGCAAGTAGCGGGGCGTACGCGCCTATCACGTAAAGTACATGTACTGCGCTGCCATGACCTTGCAGAGTCCGAGTCCGAGTCGGAGCGTGATTGGCACCGCAAGAGATAACTCGACGTGTGCTCGCACACGTGAGGCGCTCCACGCAGCGGCGCCTGTTGCTCCGAGTCGGGAAACGCCGCCGGCGCCCTTGGCACCGAGCGCGCAGCATCACAACATCACAACATCACCTCATCGGCCAGGGGGCCTTGGCAGGCATCGCTCAAACTCGTGCCCAACCCCGAGATCTGTTGATTGGGGCAAAACACAGCCTGATACGTCGATATCCAGCTATCCAGGCGATTCGGGACATTCAACTGGGGGTTCAAGTTGAGCAAGTTGCAACTCGGTCGCGCTCAATTGCTATGACTGCTGCAAGCTCGAGTAGATCGAGTATTCATCACAATTCATCGTCCATGCGTCCAACAACATGGTATCAGATGTGGCCGGATGAAGCGACATGTGGCTCGGGAGAAACAACATGGAGTCATCTCGATTTGGCCGATGCAACCTCGTGACTGCAGCAAATGCTTCCGTGCCCTGCCTCCACCGCGGAATGCTGCGGGCGACTCGCGTTATCAATCATCCAAACAACATCCTCCTCATGCACAACGCCGGCGAGCAACCCAAGCAACCCAAGCAACGCATGCAGCAGGCAAGCCCAACTGCACTTTTTGCTCTGCAGACTGGAATAGATGCCCGAGTCCCGGAAACCCCGTAGGCCCCCATGGACCCCACTGAACTCCCCACTGGCCCCGGCTGGGCTCCTCAGCCCGCGGCCCGGCCCATGGGGCACATGAGCAACAGGCCCGGCAGCCCCGCAACCCACATGCCGCAGCGGGTTGTATCACTCAATGGCAATGTCTCACCTGTCTCACTTCATCATTGGCCTCACTGGCCTCACTGGTGGCCTCACTGGGGTCCAGATCACCCGATCTCTACCGCCTCTCACTCCCGCTCCTTGCCTTTCGATCACCCATGCAATGCATGCACCATGGGCCATGCAGCGATGCATACTTGTGCTACTACTCCTCCTCCTCCTACTGATCCAGTCGTCTTGGAAACGGCAGAAGGATCAGCCGCGGATCCCCACCCACCCCGCACCATCCATCCTTCAACTATATAACTCTGACTCTGACGTGTCCTACCTTTCCTCCATCCCCTCTTCCCCTCTCCCCCTCCTCACCCTCCCCTCTTGGTCTCACACACCATGTCGACCAACGTAAACGAGCATGTCGACGACGAGCACATCCCCGGCACAGAAGTGATGCGCGACCATGACGGCATGGTCCTCCGCCGTGCCCACGGCGGCAAGGGTCAAGTGTGCGTCCACCCGTTCTTTCAGTGCTGACGCCAGCCTTGTCCCACAGCCCAGCAACGACCCCCACGACCCCCTCAACTGGCACTGGAAGTGGAAGGCCGCCGCAGCATGGACACAAGTCCTCTTCGTCATCTTCACCGTGTGCTCGGCGCTCAGCATGGCGCCCATGAACGGGCTTGCCGGTCAAGAGTGGCCTAATGAGAACGAGGAGCGCATCGGTCTCTTAACGGGCGGCACCATCCTCTCTCTCGGCTACGCAAACTTCTTCATCGTGCCCTGCAGCAACATTTTCGGGCGCCGCATCACCAGTATCGTCTGCAGCGTGCTTACCATTGGCTTTGCTGTGTGGGAGGCTGTTGCCAAGAGCTACGGCTCCTTTCTCGCGTCGCGCATTCTGACCGGCGTCCCGACCGCGATCAACGAGACGATGATGGTTCAGGTGAGTCGCCGCCGCTCAAAAGAAGCAAAAGAAGGAATGCCAACTGGTCTAACACACAGGTCATCGCCGACATGTTCTTCATCCACGAGCGTGGCCGCTGGATGGGCGTCTACTTCAAGGCCTACTTCTTCGGCCTGTTCATCGGTCCCATTATGAGCGGCAACATGGCGCAGCTGTACGGCTGGCGCACCTTCTGGTGGCTCTGTGTCGCTTTCGGCGTCTTCAACACCATCAACCTTATCTTCGTCTTCCCCGAGACTCGCTTCCGCCGCGAGCAGGCCCCGCAGAACGCGACCGTGCTCAGCGCCAGCGAGAAGCACACCCACGGGCAACTGCACCTTGAACACGAGGGCGGCGACGGCAGCGGGAGCACCACCGGCAGCGGACACGACACGCCCCCCACCGTTCCCACTGACGTCGAGGCCGCCGGCGACGCCGCTGTCACTGGCCACGGTCGCCCGTCCAAGCAGCAGTGGAAGCTGTGGCAGCCGATCAACCCCGACTGGCGCCGCACGATTGTCAAGGACGTGTTCTCGCCGTGGCTCAAGTTCTTCAACCCCATCATTCTCTGGGCCGGCTGCACAATGTACGGTTGTGCGAACGTGCTCCTTTTCTTCAACCTCACCCAGCAGACCCTCTCGGGCCCGCCCTGGAACTTCTCGCCCTCGGCGATGGGATACGCCAACTTCGCCTTTGTTGTCGGTGGCCTTATCGGCCTCTCGACCGCTGGCCCGCTGTGCGACTACGTCGCCAAGGCCATGACCGTGCGGAACAACGGCATCCGCGAGGCCGAGTTCCGCCTCATCGCTCTCATCCCATTCGTCATCATCGCGGCCATTGGCATCGTCGTCGGCGGTCTCGGCCTCGAGCGCGGCTGGGGATGGCCCGTCATCCTCTGTGTCGGGTACGGCGCCACCGGCATCACCGTGACCAGTATCCCGACCATTGCCGTCGCGTACGCGGTCGACAGCTACACCGCCATTGCGGGCGACATCATGGTCGTCGCAACAGTCATCAAGAACACCACGGGCTTTGGCATGAGCTACTGGGTCTTCTCGCTAGTTGCGTCCAAGGGCCTCTTTACTTGCGCCATGGTCCAGTTCGCCACGTGCATCGGCCCCGCCGTCCTCGCGCTTCCGATGTACTTCTTCGGCAAGCGCATCCGCCGCTGGACGCGCAACTCGTCGTACCACAAGGAGGAGTAGGGGTGGGGTGAGAGGGTTGAGGCGGCTTTTGTGTGGTGCGGGAACGGAGAATGGAAAATGGGATTCTGAAGTGACAATGTCGTGGTTGTGCTGTGTTGAATGCTCCTGATAGGTTCTATGAACATAGATGTGGCATATGGCGAGGAGATGATGGTGTCTTTCGGGGTGGTATTACTGAGCAGGGCCATTCATCCACACACGCAACTACTTGCTGTCTGCGATTCGACGCCTGACAGCCTCCATTGCTGCCAGCACCCGTACACGGGGCGCGAGAATAGACGCGATGCGTTGCCCCAAAACACGGCCCCGACTCACCCACGCCGCCACCACCACAACCAGCAGCCACAGCACACGCCGTATGCGTCTCCACCGCCGCATCGGCTCCGCGCCCTCCCAATCGTCCCAGCGCGGCCACGTGTTCTCCCACCATAGCCGCTTAACGCTGCCGGGATAATGTGTGAAAATGCGCCCCGTCCCGCCTGCACGCCAAAAGCTCGCGACTTCATACCAGACCATAAGTCGGAGCCGCTCATCCAGCCAGGTATGGTACGCGTCCGCGGCGGCGCGCGTGACCGCGAGGCGGCGGACGCCGTGGTCGCGCATCGCAGCGACGATGCGCGCGATATACGCGGCCTGGATCTCGAGCACGGACGACACGGAAACTAGTCTAGTCAGCGCCAGCAACGCGCGCACCCACTGTGGTTCAGGTACATGTTGTTCCCGAAGACGGTAAAGAAGTTGGGGATGCCCGGCATCGCGATGCCGCGGTACACCGTCCACTCGGTGCGCGACGCGTAGTTGCCCGTCGCGTCTGCGTCGCCGACGACGGGGAACGCGACGGCGGCAGCATCGTATCCCGTCGCGAGCACGATCGTGTCGGCAGGAATTTCGCGGCCGTCGCTGAGCACCACACTGCCGCGCGTGATCCGCTCCACGCGCCCGTCGACGAAGCGCGCGTTGCGCTTCAGCGCGTCAAAGTACCCGTCTTCGTAGATGAGCCGGCGGGCACCGAACGCTGTTGTCAGCCCTGCTCCTGCCGCACGCACAATACGACGGCACGGTGTCGCGCATGTACTCGGGCAACGCCGCGCGCATCCACGCCCCGATGCCCTCTTCCATGCGCTTGCGCGCCGCCGCGCCCTCGCGCGTGCGGTACCACGCGAACTTGGCGTCCATGCGCCACTGCGCGCGCACGCGCTCCAGCCGCAGAAGAAGAGGCCAGCGGCGCCAGCGCGCGATCTGCGAGGGTGTGTGGAGCACGGAATGGCGCGGCGCCCCGCGCGGCGAGGGCACGAACCACTGCCGCGTGTGCGCGACGACCGTGACGTCCACCGGGAGCGCGGAGAGCGCGCCCACGATCTGCACGCCCGAACACCCGTTCCCGACGACCACGACGCGGCCGCGCAGATCCTCTGCGGGCAGGTCCGCGGGCCAGTCGGCCGCATGCATTACCCGGCCCCCGAAGCTCTCGGCGCCTGGCACGCCGGCGCGCGGCGTGCTCAGCATCCCGCATGCGTTTACCAACACGTCGGCGCGGTAGATGTGTTCTTCCCCGTCCCCGCTGCGCATCACGACGTAGTATGCTGCGTCGGACGCGTCCCATTCCGCGCGCACGGCGGTGTAGCGCAGCTTGATGCGCGGCCACAGGCCTTCGCCCCGCGCGAGCGCCTCCCAGTCTGAGGTTAGCCGCGTAAAGGACGTGGTTACAGTGCTGGATCTCGGCGCGCTCGGGGTGCGTCTCGCTCCACGCGGGATTGAGGTGCGCCGAGTGCTGGTACGCGATGGCCGGCACGCTGGGGTCAGGCGGCATCGGCACGCGCTCACTCGCACCGGCACCCACTGGCGTCAGCGCGGACGGGCGGGCGCGTACGGGTACCGGTTCGTCCACCATGTCCCGCCGACGCCATCGGCTTTCTCGAAGATCTGGGTCAGCCCGCGTCCGCGCCCGCCTCGCCGCACCATCCAGTTGGTGAGGCCCCGCTTGTCGAGCGCTAGCGCGAGGCTCAGCCCGCCCATCCTGCGGTCAGAGGTGATGCGGACGCGCGTACCCCGCCCCAACTATGAGCACGCTCGGGCCGTCGCCGACGGCGATGGGCCACGCTACCGCCTTGAGGTCGTCGCGCATGGAGAGTGTAGTTCGGAGAAGAGTTGGGGCTCCGGTGGGCATGATGTCATTCCGAGATGCCGGTGTCAGGCCGGCCTGTGGTCGACGCAGCGGAGACCGCAAGTGTTCATGTCAACGCGCGGCCTCGACCCAGTAGCGGCGTGAGCACTGCAGGTCTATTGGTCTGGCATGACACAGCTGGGACTCAGTCCAAGCGGACAGTATAGCGCAATGCACGCCGACATCATCATTCCACCCAGGTGGCAGATCTCGTCAGAGTGCCCCGCGCCGCCGCTCATGTCAGAGGCGCCCGGTACGCAAGCAACACCCTCTCATCACACTCATGCGCGCTCGAGCGCGCAACGCATTCTTCCCGCCGCTGGTCTGGCCGCATCTGCCATCTGACAGATCTGGCGGAGACGACGTTGCTGACCAAGAGTCTTGCGGATCTCGTCCCTCGGCTACCTACCACCCGGAACGCCGGATACTCCTCGGCTACTTGAACTCTCAGCATCTGCGCTTTCGCACCTCACCTCTCCGCCATGCTCGCAACTCGACCGCTCTCCGTCGCCAGCTATCCGCGTTACGTCGGCGCGAGCCAGGTGGTCTCGCCGCTTGTGCCGCACCGCAACCTCCTCCCGCTGCGCGCGCACCCGGCCTCCTCCCCGCCTCCGCCTGCGCACCCCGACCGCCCGCCCCTCCCCCCTCCCCCCGCAGGCTGGGAGCGGAGCCTGCACGCGGCGCCCGCTGCATGGCCCAAAAGCATCGCCGAAGCCACGGGGCCCTTCTCGCGCGCCGATCACCCGTTCCGCGCCAAGCCTGCGCCCGCCAAAGAGAGCAAGGAGGAGCGCGCGCTGCGCATCGCCGGCGAAAAGGACGCATGTATGCGCCTCCGGCTGGCCGCGGACCATTGGTCGCTCGAGGAGGGCGTGGCCGCCGGGCAGGCGGGGCAGTGGATGGCGGCGGAGCGGTGGAAGCGCCGCGAGCGCGTCCCAGGCGGCCTGACGCTCGTGCTCACGCACGCGTGCGGTTTGCAGAAGGAGGTGAGGTCTTGTTGGCCGCGCTGACGGCAGCACTGGATACCGTTGATGGCGGATCTGCTGTCGCGAGACCCAGGCACTCCCGGAGGGGAGTTTGGCACTGGCGACGCAATCGGCGGCACCAATGTCGCCGTCAACGACGTGTGGATGCTCGACGACACGCACCATGGCGCAAGCGTCGACTTGAATGCCGGCCGCCTCGGCCCCGCACACAGCTGGAGCGACACGGGGCGCGACGTCATCAACTTTGTCGAGCACGTCCTTCCCGAGGTTCAAGCGGCCGAAGGCGAGGCGCCATGGCAGTTGGCATGGCACGACCGCACGGCGGGGCGGACCGCGCCGCAGGTCGTCGGCATTGGACACTCGTACGGCGCCAGCGCACTTGTGCAGGCGGCCAACGCGCGCCCCGAGCTCTTCTCCTCTCTCTTCCTTATCGAGCCGATGGTGCGTCCCCCCCATCCCCTCGCTGACGCCAGTGTGTGCCCCTCATGGTCAACTTCCCCGACAAGGGATATCCGCTGACGGCGGGCGCACTGAAGAGGCGCTCACATTGGCCCAGCCGTGAGGCGGCGGCGGCGGCGGTGCGCACCAACCCCATGTTCGCAAGCTGGGACGAGGCCGTCTTCGCGACGTGGCTCTCGCACTCACTCGTCCCCTCCGACCCGGCGCAGCCCGACGGGCCTGTCGAGCTCGCAACGCCGACGTGGGCTGAGGCCGCCGTCTTCTCAGACCCCCACTCTACGCTGCGCGGCTGGGACCTCCTGCCCAACCTCGAGATGCCGACAGGCTTCCTTATGGCCGGCGACGAGGTGTGGATGGCCGGCGAGAAACTCGCGGGCGAGATGGTGTGGCGGCCTAAGCGCGCGCGCAACGAGCGTATCATGGACGCGACGCATCTCCTCATCCAGGAGAAGCCGGTCGAGGCCGCCGCGTCGCTGTGGCGCTTCTTGACGACGCTGGATGCAGGCAAGTGGGACAAGTAGAGTGGTGTGGGCTGAGTAGCATGGACCAAGAGTAGCATGGACCAAGAGTAGCATGGACCAAGAGTAGCATGGACCAAGAGTAGCATGGACCAAGATTAGCATGGACCAAGAGTAGCATGGACCAAGAGTAGCATGGGCCAAGAATAGCATGGACCGGTTTGCATGACCGGAACAATAGACGTTCAAGGAGATCTTGGGATGACGACTTCGATGCCATCTTGAACCATCCATCATCCATCAAGATGCGCTCAAGCCCGACGACATCCAACCTGGCGACACCGTCCGAGAACGTGGGGGGTTGTAGGGCGGGGAATTTCCAAGACGGATCTTAAACGTCTGAGTATCAATGTTGCCTCCGCCACGAACGACGACCTCGGAAAGTCCGTGTCGTCGACAGTTCATCACATGTGTCGCACGCTTCCCTCTCCCTTGATCGAACTGGACCTCAAATCCAATATTCCCCCACTCTTGCTGGAAGCATCTCTGCAGATGTGCTAACGACTAATCTCGGATGACGCAAGCTCTCTCTGTGGAGCACGACGCACACCGCCAACATGCTGCAGTACACACAGACACCGGCCGAAATATGTCGATGCCAAGACCTCCTGCCGTCATATCCATTGTAGCCGATCTCACCTCTGGACATCTGCTCCACTCACATGCAGGCGAATGCATAATCACCCCTCCTCCACCTAATTTCTGTTCTGACGCGAAACACAGCTTCCGGGTCTAAAGTGCTTGCAAAGCAGCAGGCGGGGACACAAACAGGTGCTGCATGCATGCGCGCATTTTGCTCAAGGGCTGCTCCGCGGGGCGCGACCCTTCTCGTCGATGTCCGAGTCAGAGCGGTCGCGCTCCCGGCGCATGTCGGGGATTTCGTCGCTCTCGTCAGCATCCACAAGGTTCCGCTTCTCGCCGAGGTGGACATTGTCCATGAGCAACGACAGGGGGATGAGGACCGCGGCGATGCACACCGCGATGATGCACAGCACCTTCTGGACATCGCGGTAGGCGTTCACAACGGCCTCGCGCGCCGGCGAGCCCGGGGGGTTCGTCTTGACGAACTGAAGGGGCGACCTGTACACCTGTTGCGCGATCGAGGTGGCATTAGGGATGTTGGCGGCGATGAGGCCCTCGCGGAGCTTGGTGGGCAACATCTGGCTTCAGCTTCGCCCCCAAGGAACTCACGTTGGTCCACACGGCTCCGCTGATTGCGGCTGCCACGCCGCCTCCCGCCTGCCCGCCAACGGCCCAGCACGAGGTGACAAGGAGGGCATGCTCGTGCGAGAGCTTCGCTTGCATTGCCACGAGAGAGGGGTGCGATGACAGACCAGTGCCAATACCGTCGAGGAGCTCGGCGGCAACCAGGCCCGCGAGCTCACTGCGCGAATAACCGCCCCGGAAGCGGACCAGCATGCCCTGGGCCACTACGATAAGGACAACGCCGGCGACGACCAGCGGCTTCACGATGCGGAAGCGGCGTACGATTAACGCCACGAACACGACAGTGAGGGACGAGGCAAAGTTCTCCAGCGAGTTGATGCGCGTCGCGCCCTCAACGCCCCTGAGGTGAGCGTGGTTTGGCCGTGAGACTCACTGGTTAAACGAGACAACCAGGGTGAAGTACATGTACGAGTCGCGGGTTGAGGAGGCAATGTTTTTAAGCAAGGCGATGAGGAGGATCGACATAACGTGCTTGTCCCGCATGAGGTGGAACGGGAAGATGGGGTGCCGAGCCCACTTCCACTCCCAGACTGCGTGTCAGAGTTTATGTGATGGGGAGAATTACTGGCAAAGACGGGAAGCAGGAGGACACCGATTACAAGAGGAGTGATGACATCGGCCGTTTTCCACTTGGCGGCACTGCCTCCTCCGAGGGCGAGGGGGAGGAGGATGCACGCGAGGGCTCCGGCAAGGAAGAGGAGGCCCATCACATCCATGATCCAAAACATGTGGACCCAGCCTGCACGGCTCCTCAACAGCTTCCAAGTGGAAGGGATGCCGTCCATACGCCCCTCGCGACGGGCTTTGTACGAGAGATACTGAGGTCAGCTCTGTTCGGTCTCTGTACACACCTGGAAAATGATGATGAGCGCAAAGCATACCACAGGCGAGATAATGGCCCACATGCCTGAGCCCCAACGCCAGCCCATCCCGTTGACCACTTTGTCGGCGATGACGCCGCCAGCCCAGACATTGATGATGCTAGGGAAGATGAAGACGAGCTGCATGAACAGACGGTTTCGCAGAGTCGTTGTGTCGATAGCGAGGCCATACTGGAGGACTGTGATCAGCACCGATACATTACATTCATAACCCACTGTTTCCGGCGACGTGGCCGAGTGTGTACAGAAGGAAACCGGGGATGTAAGAGCCGAGGCCCGTCGAAGTTGCAACCACGATCGGGCCGACGAGCCAGAAAAGGGCGGTAGTATTAAGCATGAATCCGCGCCCGATGTAGTCGGTCAGCTTGGCGGTGACCACAAGGCTGGTCGCGGTCAGGACCTGACGGATGGTCCGTACCATGGCTGCCTTGCCCGTGACGCCCCACTCGTCGAGTGCAATCGACTGGTAGGTCCCGATGACTGAGGCCGCAAGCAGGCGCCCATCTGAGGGTTAGCGTCGAGGGAGGCCGTCGACCTCACAGCTCATCACCACCAGCGTGCTGAAGAAGATGATCTTGAGATTGCGCGTCCAGCTCTTGGTGATGGCGTCCATCTTGAGAACACCGGGTGACTTCTTCTCCAGCGGCGCGCCGATGCTCAGTTGGTCCGTGTCGGCATAGATACCGTCTGCCGCCTGGTGTCTCTGCCGCACCGTCTGCTCCTCATAGTCTACTTGGGCTTGATTGGCGTCCCTGCGGTCCATCTTTCGTACACTGTTCGGGATGCAAGGTGGGGTGAGCCAGCCCACGCCTCACATTTATATGTAGTGCATGGCTGGAGCAGAGCGTCTTTTCTTCAGCAACCTCGCCGTAACTGCGGGATAGCTAGCATGGGGTGGAACAAGCATAGGCAACTGCCACGGCCACATGAACCTGGAATGGGAGTCGCGCGACTTGATCTTCGACCGAAAGTGAAGGCACTGTGCGTTGTGTGGCTTTGAACTCGGCCGATAACGATAATGAGCTCACCGTTCCGCACGCTGGTGGCTACTAGCTCAGCATGGAGCTCCAACTCGGATACCCCATCCAATCACGCAGCATATGCTTCTGAATGAATGGCATGCACTTCAGCAGGCGGACATCTCCGCTGTGAACGACATACTCGCGGATGACTGTTCAGAAGCAGAGTCGCGGCCGACGATTGAACTTCCGCTTGCTCCACTTTTGCATGGAGGAGAACAAGATCGTCGTCGGCCGCGTCCACGTCCAGAGCATCGAGCGGCCGAAAGTTGATAGCGCGCACCATTCCTTCCGTAGAACTCTTAAGGCTCTGGCACCGTTCCTTTGGACCTTGGCTGATACAGCGCAGCATTGCCATGGTATGTCAGAGATCGAACTGAGCCCAAGTTGACCATTCGACCGCACCGCGAAAGTCTTGGCGTCACCCTTCTTGCTTGGTCCCTGCTCGATGATTCTCATCCTCTTCCCCGTTCCAACGTGCACCAAGTTTGAGACACAAGTCTCTCGCGTTTGCTCGATGACTCTCATCCTCTACAACGGGCACCAAGGTTGAGACTAAAGCGCGCCTCTCGCGTTTGCTCGATGACTCGCATCCATTACCGGTTCCAACGCGCACCAAGTTTGAGACTAAAGTGCACCTCTCGCGTTCTCAAGTGGCTCGAATCCCTCTCTGCTCAATGACTGGCCACTCCTGCAAGCCCAAACGTCGGCCGGCATCGCTGTCACAGCGGCTGCGAGAATTCAGCGGCCGCAGCCCTATTCAGACTCTTCGAAAGCGAGCCTCAGCCCCGTTGTTGGGAAGCCTCCCAGGGGATGCTGTCCCGAAAGTGACGGCCGGATCGTGTACAGATAAGCACCGCTTCAAGGGCTTATGGGCTCTGACTTCTGGGCGACCTGCTAGGCATCCCATTCCAATGACTCCAGAGCTTAACAGCCGTAAGATGAATACAATAATTCTGAGCGTTCTAGTTAGGCCGAGCAAGCCCGACGCACGCAATTCTCCATTCTTTCTGATTGCGCCCGCTGAGCTTTGCCAAACGGGTGGATGGAAGCAGCCAGTGCTGGGAAAAGCTGAGTTCAAGCAGACTGAGCATCTGTCTGCGCAAAGGTCCCACGAGTGGAATCGGTGGAAAGGCAACAGCGATCGGCTGTGCAGAACTCAGGATCGCTGTGAACGGATGCTTGGCAGCGGTTAATCACCGCCGTTGATGATCAGGCACTCCTGTTTGCACCGTGAGCGGAATGAAATCACGTCAAAGTTTCCATTCTCTCCTCCACGAACCTCAGCCCTCTCGCTCGTGCTCTAATCGCTCTCGTCATCTTGGACCCGACATCGGTCATCGAATCTCTCGGGTGTCTCCCGCGTGGGCCCACGGATGCCGCTGCTGTTGACTGGCTTTCGCTAAGCCGAGATATACGAAGCGATGCGCGACAACGTCGAGCTTCAACCGCTGCAGAATGCGAACGTGGCCGAGGGCGACACCGTCGAGGATGTCGAAAGCAAGCACGACGCCGTCCCCGAGCAGGAGCAACGGCTGCATGTAACGGAGGAGCAGGTGCGTCGCAGTGCGGAACGCGCTGATGGCAGAACCGCGTTATCCTGCGCAAGACTGATAAGCACATCCTCATCACCCTCATGGTCGTGTACTTCATGCAGGCGCTCGACAAAACCAGTGGGTTGCTCTGGGCGTAGCCTGACATGTTACTCACGCCAGACCTCGGCATCATGAATCTCTTAGGCTTGTCCCAGGACCTGAGACTGCAGGGAACGCAGTACTCGCTGGTAAGCAGCGTGATCCCGTTCGCGCAGATTGCATGGCAGCCATTCAGCTCGTACCTTGTCGTGCGGGTCGACACGCGCATTCTCATGACGACACTCATCGTGCTTTGGGGCACAATGGAGACGGTGCTGTGCGCCGCGAACTCATACGCATCCATTATGGCGATACGGTTCTTCCTCGGCCTCTTCGAGGCCGGTTGCCTCCCTCTCTTCAGCATCCTCACTGCCCAGTGGTACCGCCGGTAAGCATGCTCTTATCTGACGCCTTGCTGACAATAGATCCGAGCAGCCGCTGCGCGTCGCGCTGTGGTATGGCACGAACGGGTTGTCGTCCATCATGGCCGCCGTGTTTGGGTACGGGTTCGCGCACATGGCCGACGGCGGGCCGCTGTTCAAATGGCAGGGCCTGGCGATCCTTTGCGGCGGCCTTACGCTACTTTCCGCCCCGCTCGCGTGGTACCGGATCGACTCGACAGTCGACAAGGCCCGCTTCCTCTCGCCCGAGGAAAAGGCGCTCGCCAAAGAACGCTTGCGCGCTAATCAGACCGGCGTTGGCTCGAACGAGTACAAGTGGGTCCAGCTGTGGGAGGTCGCGTGCGACCCCAAGTCGTACCTCTTTGTCGGGATTGCGATCCTTATTAACGCTGGGGCGGCTATCACGTCCGCTTTTGGCCCGACGCTCATCAACAACATGGGGTTCGACAAGTACATTTCAAACCTCCTCAACATCCCGTTCGGCGCACTCCAGCTCATCCTTATCGTTGGCGCGAGCTGGATTGCGCAGCGTTACGCGAACAAGGCCATTCCCCTTGCCGTCCTCCAGATCCCGTGTCTTGTGGGGTCCATCCTCCTTTACACCGAGGGTACGAGCGGCAATTTCCGCCAAGGCATCGGCCTGTTCGGATACTACCTCCTCGCGAGCGTGTTTGGGTGCAACCCGCTTCTCATCGCGTGGCTCATGGCCAACACGGGCGGGCAGACGAAGAAGTCGGCGTTGCTCGCGCTGTATCAGTGCGGCGCGGCGGCAGGAAACGTTCTCGGGCCTATGCTCTTTAACGCCAAAGATGCGCCCTACTATATTCCAGGCTTGCGAGGGTGCATGGGCATCTTTGCCGCGCAGCTCGTGTGCGTCGGCGCGACATTTGTCGTCCTCGTCCTCCTCAACCGCCAGCGTCGGCGGCAGCGCATCGCGGCCGGCAAGCCAGAGTTTATTCGCGACACGTCCATGGCCCAACAGTACGAGGACTACGCGGACGACGGCGTGCTTGGAAAGAAGGGTAAGTCGGGGCAGCATGAAAGTGCTCACGTCAGCGCTGGGCGACCTTACGGATTTCAAGAACGACGAGTTTGTTTACGTGTATTGAGTATGAAGGGCGGATGCGAGAGGAGAATGGTCGGCAAACGCGGGGTTCATCGGCCTCCTTCAGCTCCTGGTTATGTGTAATGGTACAATGATGCATGTGCTACTCAAACAAGTTGCGTGATACTATCCTATGAGAGATACGTGATTGACTGCTTAGAAAAACATCTTGGAAACAGCACCCATGAGGCGGCCGTCGCGCATAGCCTCGACGATGCGGGCGACGTTCGAGCCGATGCTCTTGCCGCTCTTGCCCTCGGCGACGTCGCCGCGGCGGACCTTGACGCCGAGGTCGGAGCGGATGGCCTCGTAGACGGCACGGGTCTGGCCGAGGTACTCGGCGGGCTCGAGGTCATTGCGTCCGTCGGCGGTGGTGGCGGTAAGAATCGAGCGGTAGAGGTCACCGGCGTCCTTGGCGAACTCCTTCTTCCACTTGGGGAGGTTGGTGAGGTCGGTGATGTCGTCGTTGACCATGAGGGCGTCCATGATGCAGCCGACAAGGTGCTTGGCGGCGTCCTCGAAGCGTGGGGCAGAGTCCCAGCTGGGGGTCTGGTTGAGGCGCTTGTAAAGGGTGATGGCGGCGGTGGTGTTGAGCTTGGCGAGCTGCTCGGGAGTGAGGAAGGTCGAGAAGTGCTTGGTGAGCGTGTCGTTGAGGAGCTTGACGATGGCCATCTTGAACTTGACCTCCATGACGCGGAGGTCAAGTGCCTGGGTGGCGCAGTACATCTGGGAGCCAAGGAGGAGGGAGAGGACCTCGTTGGCCTCCATCGTCTTGCGGGCCGAGGCGAAGGCCATCGAGTTGACGCTCTGGTTGTGCATCTCAGTGCTCTGGACGTGGTTGCTCATGGGGTTGGCGAGGAAGCCGAGCTCAGCGCAGTAGGCGCCGCAGTGGATGTCGAGACCCTTGCAGTGGTAGTTGGTGCTGGGTTCCGAGCCGGCCAGGTTGGAGGGGAGGCCGTGGTTCATCTCGCAGTTGATCAGCTCGGTGACCTGGGCGAAGCTGAGCTTGCCGAGGTTCTGGAGCACAATGCGGGTCGAGTCCATGGCCGAGGTTACGGCCATGGCCTGGAAGTTGCCGCCGTGGTGGAACATGCCGCCCTCGACGTCGATGAGCGGGTTGTCGGTCGTCGAGTTGAGCTCGGTCTCGATCTGCTGGCGCGCAAGGCCGAGCATCTCAAGCTGGGGGCCGATCCACTGCGCCGAGGTGCGGAGCGCGTAACGGTCCTGGCGGAGGATACCGGCGTCCTGGTCGGCGAGAAGCTCGGGCTCCTCGTGAACAGCAAGCTTGGAGTTGCTGAGCATGTGTCTGATGTTCTTGGCCGCCTCGATCTGGCCGACGTGAGGGCGGATCTCCTGGATGAAGGGGGCGAACGAGCCGACGTGGCCGTCAAGAGCCTCGACGGTGAGCGCAGTGTTGGTCTGGCTCATCATGGCGAGGCACTCGGCGTCGTAGAGGGCGAGCGCACCGGCAGCGGCCGAGACGGCGGTACCGTTGACGAGACCAAGGCCCTCCTTGGACGCAAGGCGGACAGTCTTGAGCTTGTACTTGGCAATTGCCTCGGGAGCCGTGAGAACAGTGGGCGGCGACGCAGCGGTGTCAAAGACCTTGACGTCGGGGTGGCCGCAGATAGCACCGGCAATGTACGAGAGCGGCGAAAGGTCACCCGAGGCCGAGATGGTGCCGCGAAGGGGAACGCAAGGAACAAGGCCGATGTTGATGAAGTCGGCAAAAGACTGGAGGACCTCCAGGCGGACGCCGGAGTGGCCACGGACACACGAGTTGACGCGGACGGCCATGGCGCCGCGCACGATGGGGATGGGCATCGCGGCGAGGAGCATGCCCTCGTAAGTGGGGTCGGTAGGGAGGTAGCCGCAGAGCTGGTGCTCGAGAAGCGAAATTTGGAGGGCCTCAGTGTCGCTGGTGCGGGTGTCGGCCGAGCCACCAAAGCCGGTCGTGACACCATAGATGGACGTGTGCTTCTTGGACTCCTTGAAGTCGACCGAGGCCTGGACGGGGCCGGCGACGGAGGCGGCAAGCTCGACCTTGGCGCCGTGGCGGGCAACGGCGACAACGTCGCCGACCTTCATGTTGTGGCCATCGATAACGACGGTCTTGGTCGCCTGGCTGTGGGCGTAGGTAGCGAACGGCTCGCTGCTAGTTAGTCATTGCTCGCCGACTGGCCGGAAAGCGGCTGGAAGAAGAGGTTACTCACACAGGAGCGGCCTTGGCGGCATCGCCGTTCATCACCTTGGTGGAAGCGGGCTTGGCGACATTGGTCTCAGTAATCATTGCCACTCAGGAGGGATTGTTGTGGAAGGGTGCGGTACCGCGATAGCGTAAAGCAGGTAGAGTAGTGAGAGGGGCTGGCTCGGAGCGGGCGGCGAGGTGAGAGTGCGCAGTAAGTGAGGAGGAGGAGACGACGCTTCCAGGCATTATATATGCTACATGAACAGACTCGGCGCGGTGTGCTGGTGTCTGACGCGCGCAGTCAGCAAGAGAGAGGAGCCATGTGATGAGTGGGAGAACGGGAGGGAGAGGAGAGCAAGGTATGCGGCATGTCGGCCGGAGCATCTCATTCCCCACCCCACACTGCCCCGCCAGTCCCCGTGGCCTCTCGCTACCTGTGGCGTTGGCCCCGCCCTCGCATGCACTACCCGCCCCATGTATCCCCACGCCACCACGTCACCCTCTGCACATGCACACAGGGTCTGTCGCAGCTGCGCCAAGAACGCGAGGAGGTGTCACCAGGTGACGCGACGTAGAAACAACGCGAGACTTCGGCTTGCCCTCGGTGCGGACGCGACTGCCACTTCGACTCCCACGTGTGCAATCGCCTGTTCCACCGCTTTTGAGAGCACACAGTCCATAGACAAACAGTCACACGTCCCAGGCTCTTCGCGACTGGGATCTGTGGGGCTCACGGCTCGATTTGGCGAGCTGAGCGGCTGTGGTCCCAGCGCAATCTCGAGATTGATCCAGAAACAGCATGCGCAATCGGACCATAACAGGGGTGGCGAACACGGCCCGATCAGCGGTCTCTCGTCCGAGACTCCGTTTCTCGGCTCCGGCCGACAGGCCTGCTGGGTGAGGCGCTTATCAGTGCCGCGGGATGTCGGCCGGGTCCTGACGCCCCAGACCCAACGCGGTCGGTACTCATCGGTGACGTCGACAACGACGGCGGGCCGTCGACGCCGAAAGCACGCGACACAGCAGAGGCATGTGTCCGTGCGTCGGCGCCAGCGATTCCGGTGGGCACGGCGGTATCGGGCTGTCGTGAGGCGACGTCTGATTGCTGATAGGAGGCAAAAGTGTTAGGTAAAGACTTGGAGGAGAGTGCTATCTAGGGTGATGCTCAGGGTGCAAGTTCACCGGATCTCGGGGTCTTAGATTCGGGCCATGGTCCGGGCTCGTTCTTTCGGCGCACATGTGCATCACCCCGCGTCGCTTCAATTGCTACGTGCTACGCGCTTGACTTAGGGCACCGTGGGGCAGCGGGTAAAGCACGCGTTCTGGCTAGAAAGTTCGGTATGTGGTCTTGACGGAGTGGTGCCCCCTCTACGCCGAGATATTCCATCCTTTTACTGAACATTACGAGGACACACCAAGCATGGGGACAGTGGAGCTAACGACGGCGGCAGCGGTATGCGTCGAATCTAGCACGTTCGTCTATGCGTGGTCGCAGTGGTCTGGTATGGTCTAAGAATGGCAGGTGTCTCTGACTTCCGGCCCTTTCACTTCCTTGACCAGCCTAGACCAACCGTTACCGACACCGCGGCACCTTGATGCTGGCGATCATCTTCACGCCAACCTCGCCGTCTCCTCCCAGCCGATTGAAAGGCCAGACGCTTGCCTGACCTGAAGTAGCTGGAGGTGCCCAGAGTGCGGTGACGAATCTCCACATGGCCGCCAGCGGAGCATCGTGCTGCGCAGATGACACTTATTAGCAGCCTTTGTGAACCTTGCACTCACGTCCGCTTTCTGGATGTACGGAAGCTCGCCCCGCTGACCTTGACGGTGCCCATCGCCTTGGGCAACCACCTACAAAGTGCGTGGCATCGCTTGGCACCATCGGTGATGACCGAACTCGGCGCGGTGACTAGGTGTCTGATTCGCCTACCAATGCCCACCGCGGCACCGATATGCAGCACTAGAAACACAGTCACACACCATTGCAACTACACTCATCCACACAACATGCCGCCCTTCCCACAGCCCTTCGTCTCCACCACCTCGCACTGGCAAGCGACGAACCGCGGCCCCACGTCGCTGTGGAATCACGGGCGTGACGCCCCGCTCCCCGCGTCCGCGGACATTGTGATCATCGGCGCGGGGATCACTGGCGCCTCGCTCGCCTACCACCTCACTCGGGAAGGCGGCGCCGGCGTCGGCAAGACCGTGGTGGTACTCGAGGCACGCGACGTGGCGTCGGGCTCAAGTGATTGGGCGTCAGGACGCACTGACCCCAGCTGGGAAGAACGGAGGGCATATTGCGCCGGCGTGGTACACGGCGTTTGCGAGCCTCGTCCGGAGCGTCGAGGAGGGCGGGGGCGGATGTACGCCTGAGCAGGCGCTTGAGGTCATCTTCAATGAGCAGGACACGCTGGCGCTGGCGCAGGAAATTGTGGCGCGTGACAAGCTGGATGTCGACCTGTGGGTGGGAGAAAAGCTTGAGGGTAAGGCCGTGTGCGGCGGCGCTAACGCAGTGTTCACCTCGGCCGCGGCGGCGAAGCTTAATGACGAAGCCTATGGTGCGTTCCACGCTGCGCTGGCAGCCAGCCCGCGCTTTGCGGGCCGCGATGTTGGCTGGCGACGCATCTCGGACCCCGAGGAGGCGAGGCGCGTGTCACGGCAGGCGCACGCGGTCGCCACCAACATCGGGCCGGCGGGGTCGTGTCATCCCCACCGCTTGACAACGGCGCTTATGCGCCTCGCGATTAACGCCGGTGTCCAGCTGTTCAGTTGGGCGCCGGTGCTGTCCCTCCGGCACGAGACGGGCTGGGTGCTGGATTGTGGGACGCAGGGCGTCATCCGTGCCGGCCAAGTCGTGGCGGCTACCAATGCGTGGACGCGGCACCTCTTCCCGACCGAGAAAGAGGGTGCAAGCATCGGCGCGCAGTACGTGTATCTCAACCGGCGCTGACGCAGCATCACCCCGTTCCGGGGACACGCCGCTCTCGTGGTCCCGCCGCCGTCATATGCAGGCTCGGCAGCCCTAAGGCACACCTACAGCGTCGAGAACGGGCCGTACCTCATGCACACGCCGCACGCGGGAATTGTGTTGGGCGTGTACAACTCGACAGCGGTGAACGCGGGCCTATGCGGCTGGGTAGATATTCTCGGAGTTGAGGACGACTCTGTCGTGGTTCCCGCTTTGGCGGACTGGCTGGGCGCATACTGCCGCCGCGCGTATGAGGGCTGGGGCACTGAAGGGCAGGGCGAGGGAGCCACGCGGGTCTGGAGCGGCGTGCTTGCAGCGTCGGCCGACCTCCTGCCGCTCATCGGCGCGGTGCGGGACAAGCCGGGAATGTGGGCCGCCGCCGGCTTTCACGGCCACGGCATGGCTAGGATTCTTACGTGCACGCGCGGCCTGGCGGCACAGATGAAGACGGGGGACTGGGACGAGCGCCTCCCGCGCGTATTTGATATCACGCCAGAGCGGTTACAGCGGGCTCGGCACGCGGCCGCGATACCGACGTTTCAAGGTGTGGGGGGAGCTGTGTCCGAGATTCCGCGGCTGTGATTGCGTGGTGGGCGGAGGGGTTCGTACTGTAGACTTCCGCAGAATGTGCGATGATGCAGTTTGTTTGGTTCCATCATCAACGGCAAACAGCGGCATGTCCCGACAGTCTCACATGCGCCATCCGACATTCCACCCACATCATCGCTTCAACCCTCCCACATCGCTCACCCAGAAAACCACCATGGACGTCGTCGAGGCCTCCATCGCCGACCTCCGTGATGCCCTCGACTCGGGGGCGACCACGAGCGTGGCGCTCGTCGCAGCCTATCTCCGCCGCATCGCATACTACGACCGGCATGGACTGCGCCTGAACTCAGTCGTGGACCTCTCGCGCACGGCTTTCGCCGAAGCGCGCGCCGCAGACGGGCGCCGCAGGGCCGGCAAACCCTTGTCGCGCCTCGACGGCATCCCGTACACGGTGAAGGACTCGTTCGCGGTGTCGGGCATGCGGCTGTGCGCGGGCTCTCCCGCGTTCGCGGATCTCGTGGGCGGGCGCGACGCGTTCGTTGTGCAGCGTTTACGTGCGGCTGGCGCAATCGTGCTCGGGCGCACGAACATGCCCCCGCTCGCGAACGGGGGCATGCAGCGCGGGCTGGACGGGCGCCCGTCGTCGCCGTACAATGCCGCATACCTCCCGGCGGCATGGACGAGCGGGTCGAGCAGCGGGAGCGGGGTCGCGACGGGCGCGAGCCTCGCGGCCTTCGGGCTCGGCGAGGAGACGTGGAGCTCGGGCCGCGCGCCGGCCAACAACAACGCGCTGTGCGCGTACACGCCCAGCTGGGGCGTGCTGTCGCTGCGCGGCAACTGGCCGCTTGTGCCCACCATGGACGTGGTTGTGCCACACACGCGCAACATGGCGGACATGCTGGCGCTGCTGGATGTGATTGTCGCGGATGACAGCAAAGCCCGGGGCGACTTTTGGCGCGTTCAGCGCGCCATTGAGATCCCTCGCGTAGCCGCGCTGCGCCCACCGTCGTATGCTGCGCTGCAGCACACCAAAGACATGCCACTTGCCGGCATGCGTATCGGCATGCCCCGCCGATATTTGGGCAAGGAGGACATCCACATCCGGCCATCGGTGCTCGCTCTGGCGGAAGCCGCGGCGGAGCGCATGCGCGCACTTGGCGCCGAGGTCGTCGAGACCGCGCTGCCCGTCGTCGATGCGTATGAGAGTAAGCGCTTCCCCTTCCCGCGCAGCGTGCAAGGCGGGCTGGAGGACGCGGGCTTCCTGCCCCGTGGCTACGATGAAGCCGAGTACGTCGGCCTGTGCCTGTATGCGCTCGAAGACTTTCTGCGCGCGAACGCTGAGTCGGGCGGGCGCGGGCCTGCGTCGCTCGCCGACGTCGACCCCGCCCTCATGTTCCCGCTGCCGACCGGCCAGATTGCCGACCACGTCGGTACGCCCGACTTCGGGATGGGCGAGTACGTCCGCCTGCTGGCACAGCACGGCTTCCGGAGCCCCGAGGACGTGCCGCTCGCGGAGGAGGGGTTGCGCGGGCTGCAGCGCGCGCGGAGGGAGCTTCTCGAAAAATGGATGGACGAGGAGGGGATCACGGCGCTCGCGTGGCCCGCGAGCTGCGATGCCGCGCCCGCCGACGCAGACATCGTGCCCGCTTCGCATGAGATTGCCGTGCGTAACGGAACGTGGGTTGCAAATGGAAATCTCGTTCTTCGCCATCTTGGTATTCCCACCGTCACGGTGCCGATGGGTATGGCTGAGGACATCGGCATGCCCTTCGGTCTCACGTTCGCGGGACGCGGGTGGGACGACACCCGCCTTCTCCAGATTGCGGTGGACGTCGAGCGCGCGCTGCCCCCACGACCCATACCGCCTCGCACGCCAGCGCTGCCGCCACTCGTGGCGGCTAAGGCGACAGTGGGCGGGGACAGCAAGGGAGTCACTCCGAGCGAGCCGGAGTTCAGGCTCACAGTCGAGCCAGAGCACGGGGCGGACTCGCGCGTGTACTATACCGTGACGGGGCGTGCGCCCGGCGCGATCAGATCTGCGACGGTCACTATCAATGGTTTGCCCGCCGATATCTCGCTCAAAGGGGGGGAGCTCACCGCCCGCGGCTCAGTACCCGCCGAGGAGCTGCAGCAGTTCCACTCGCAATGGCGCGTGCCGTACGGCACGCTGATCACTGCAACTGTAACAGGCGCTTTCGGCGAACTGGGTGCATTTGAGATCGTGGGGGGCAGTTAGTTGCGTAGAGGCTGTACAATGCATCATGCCGACAACCGAGCGCTGAATGTATGTGTGAGATCTCTCTTCCCTGCCTATACCACCTCACTCAACCCCGCCGAATCCAGCGCGCCGAACAGCATCGCCGAGTCAAGCCACGAGAGGTCGGCGTCTAGCCAGTCCGCCTGGCCGACGCCCAGCGACTCGAGGAGCTGGTCCGTCGCCTCGCCCTCCGGCGCGGCACTCATGCCGAGAGTGTCCGCGACGGTGCGGTACGTCTCTGCGAGCGGCAGCTCGCGGCTCCCGACAGCGAGCACGACGGCGATGCGGCGCAGTGCGGCCTCGGCGATATCCCAGCGTGTCGTCGAGTACATGTCCACCAGACCGTGCACGAGCGACGCGGTGCATGCCAGCGCGCCGTCGGTGTGCGCGAGCGCCAAGCGCAGAAGCAGGCTCGCGGCGTTCGAGATGTGGTGTGATGAGTCTGGTTAGCGCGTACGGCGGGGACTTACAGGGCATCCAGAATGCCGCGCGGTCGGCGTCTGTGAGGCTGAGCACGAGGGCGGAAAGACGCTCGCATGCGTCTAGGGCGCGAGAGTGCGCGAGCGAGATGTGTACTCCCCCAGAAGGGAGCGCTTCGATGATCGTCCGGTGTGTGATAACGTATAGCCCGCAGAGGGAGAGCTGGAACGAGCCTGGTGTCGGCAGTGTGGCGTGCACAGAAACTTACGGACGCCAGTTGGCGCCAACCCAGTCGTGGAGCGTAGTGGGTCTGGGAGTCCGTCCTCAAACGCCTCGAGGTCGGCGAGAATGCCCTCGAGCGCCGCGAGGCGCGTGAGTTCGCCTTGAGGTGCAGTGATGGCGTGTACACTGAAGAAACGCTCGAGGAGCTTGCTGATGTCAGTGACTGTCTTCACAGTGGCGCACTCGGCGATGAGTGTCAAACGACATGTTGCGAGGAAAGAGGCGGACGAGGCGTCCTCACCGACAGACGGCAGAGGCACATTGTAGTTACTGTGGTGCAAACTGGATGAGCGGAGGTTCTCGGCGTCAATCGTACTTTGATGGACGGCCGTACAGCAACGCAGGCCACTTGTCATGTATGAAAAGCGTCCACCATATCTGTGTGCGCACACTGACTTCCCACGCGGGAAGTGCCCATACGCTCGAGTCCATGTGTAGGCCGAGGAGGTGCGCGCACCCCGCCGCCTGGCGTCAGGCCATCCGCTGCGGAGACATACGCGCGCAAGGCCAATTTCGCGCTGGCCCACGTTCTCGCTCGGCCGTGAGGTGAGTATCAGCAGGGCAAGCTGGAGCGTGCGCAGCCGTGGCTGGCGGTACTCGTCCTCGAGGGCGAGCAGGGCTTGCTGCCACAACGCGCGATGCAAGTGCCTAATCTCGGGGATGTAGCTCGTACAATGAGCCACGATGCCTGCGACGAGGGCGGGTGGGTTGCTCTGCGCGAGGCGCCGGGGATGCACAAACGGGAGGGCGGGGAGGGTGATCGTGGTGAATCTGTCAGCAGCGGCGGGGGGATGGACTTACAGATGCAATGCGCGGGCGGGGATGTCGGGCGCAACCGGGGCGCAGAGGCGGCGTACTTCGTCGAGCGCGGCCGACGCACTGCTCGGTCCACGTCCGTAGAGGAGCGATGGGTGCTTGATAAAGTATGCGGGGCGGCGGGGATCGCTTGAGACTTGCCGGAACGCGAGGGTTGCGTGTCGGCTGAACGTCGCGGCGCCGGCGTCGCGCGGGAGCAGGCCGAAGAAGCCGAGCCCGACAAAGTGCGTCTCTTCGTCCTCGGCTTCGTCGTCAAGCGGCACGCCGTCGTCGGTGCGAGGTTGGAGCGGAACGCGGGGGCTGGGCGCGGCGTCCCAGTCGAGACCGACGGACGACGACGGCTCCCTGCTCCTCTCGGGCTGACTACTCGGGCCCGCGTCGGGCCGCTTGCGCTTCCGAGCCGTCGGGCCTATGAGGAACGTGCACTCTTTGTCGCGGACGCGACAGCTCACGCACGGCTCGCCGCGCACGGGGATCATGCACATATGTTTGTGCCGGCGGCCTGGGTCAGTGCCGCGGGGCGGGGGAGCTTACAGGCGTCGCAAGGGCGGTCGAGACGCGAGCGGGGTTCGCGGCCTGTGTGAGCTGTGGGCTGAGCTGGTTTGACTCGTTCTGGGGGCATAGAGGAGAGGAGGGGACGGGAGTGGGAGAGTGGGAATTGACAAGAAGATGGACAGGCAAGTGGAATAATGGTGACTGCCTGAATGGCCGATCGGGAACCGAGATCGGCCAACCTCAGGGCGATCGGGAGATCTGCGGGCCGCCGTGGGGACCGTCGTCACTGGTTCTCGTACTCGCGTCTAGATGCATGCATGCACAGTTCAGACCAATACATGACACCCGCAATGCCACGGCGCTACTCCTCCCGCCACCCCTGGCTGTTCTGGATGAGCTTGTAGAAGAAGCGCACCATACTAAGGTGCGCGTCGATATGAATCCGCTCGTCGACGGTGTGGTAGTTGAGGAGATGGGCCATGCTCGCCGGCGCGAAGCGGTAGATATGCTTCGACAGGTCCCAGTAGTACTGTGTATCCGTAAACGCAGTCATGGCGGAGGGCACGACGATCGCGCCGGGGAACACGTGCCGGATCGTGCCGGCGACGAGGCCGAACGCGGCGCCCGCGGACGGCGTGAGCGGCGCGGGCTCGAGCACGATACCGTCCGTGTGCAGGCGCACGACGTTGTCGCGCACGTGTGCATGTGAGCCTTGGTAGTCGAACGTCATGTTGGCGGCGGCGGCGATGGGGGCGATGACGCGCGCGAGGCGCTCCATCACGTCCTGCGACGTCTCGAAGAAGACCGTGCTGGTGTCAGTCCCGCCAGAAAAGTACGCACCGGTAGTTGGCCAGCGCCGTCGTGTGTTCTGGCAGCGCGTTGTACTTGTTCCCGCCGTTGACGAGGGTGATGGCCTGCGTCGTGCGCAGGAAGAGCTCGCTCGCGCCGCCCGCCAGCTCGTCCGCTAGCGCGGGCCAGCACTCGGCGCACCGCACCATCTCCTTCAGCTGCGGGTCCATGGTGCCGTGCTGTGCCGCGCACTCGAGATACCCCAGCAGCGTGTTGTCCGCCTCGAGGCGGATGGGGCCGCGCTCCGCCTCCATCGCGACGAAGACCTGGCCCATGAGCCCGATACCGGTGTGCAGTGGCGGACGGGAGGAGTGGCCGCCGGGCGCCATGATTGTGAGGCGCGCGTTGAAGCACCCTTTCTCGGCGAGGCCGACGCGTGCGAACAGTTGCCCATACTCTGTGTCTACGCCCGTGAAGCCTTCGTCGAAGACGAGCGCCGCGCCATCGCGCCCATACCGCGCCAACAAGTGTTGTGCGAGATGGCCTGCGCCGCGCGGGCCCCGGATCTCCTCGTCAAACCCGAACGAGTAAAGGATCGTCCTGGTGTCAGCGAACCCGAGGAATAACGCACCGCTCAGGCTGAAAGCCTTCGGAGAGCAGCTTCTCCGCACTTGACATGAGCGCGACGAGCGTGCTCTTCATGTCCGTCGTGCCGCGCCCCCACACCCAGCCGTGCGCGTCCATGTGTGCGTCGAACGGCGGGTGCGTCCAGAACCTCCACGTGACTGCGTTGACGGGCACGACGTCTTGGTGTGCCATGAGAATCTGCGTCAGCGCGGCCGCAGCGCAGCGCTTACCATGGGCTTGAGGGTTGCGTCGGTGCCGCGCCACGTGAAGAGGAGGCCGTGGGTGTTGACGCGTTCGAAAGTTGTGGCTTTGTGGAAGAGGGGGTAGGTCGTGCGCAAGTGTTCTTCAAAGTCGTAGAAAACGTCGAAGGAGGGGTCCGAGGCGTTCATCGGCATGTCGTCGAATGTCTCGGTGCGCTGATGTTAGTGTGATGAAGACCCGGGAGGGGGGGTAGGTCGGGGCGGGGCAGGACTCACGATGCGGATGGCCGCCGCGAGGCGCTCGTATGCCTGCTGCTTGTCCGTGGCACTGGAGAGGATCCACTCGCCGCCGACATTGCGGACGTCAGGCTGCGCGGGGCAGCGCACGGGCGAGACCTGTGTGTGTGTGCTGTGATGCGAGTGCTTGCACTCGTGTTTGTCGTGGGGGACAGAGCGTTTCAAGACAGGTGTCGGCTGCCCAGTGAGCACTGAAGCGATGTAGAGGGCGATGGCGAGGCCGATGCCGCCGACGAGCAGGAGGTGTGTCTTGGGGATGCCGGACATGGCGGTGAGGGGGAGGGGGAGGAGAGGGTGAGGGTGAGAAGTGGGGGAGACGCGAGGAGTGCGCTGAGAAAGGCCGAAGATAAATCAAGTGAGCATGAACCAGAAAATGTCGTGCTGAGAACAATGGATGATCTTGTAATCCATGAATGAGAACGAAGAGTGGAGGAGTCAGTGCCGGCGGAGGTGGAGATGAGCAAGCAAGTGGGCAGTGGTGGAGGCTCGCCAGCTTCGTCTCCCGCCTACCGGGCATCGCCGGGGCAGACTCCGCGTCGTCGCGTCTAACGGAACGGGGCAAGGCGTGGCAAGCACTCCGACGACGCTGCCTGTTGCGATGAAGAGTACGCGCAGCGTAGGTCACATCGATGGGCGAGCTGGCGATATGGCCACAAGAATGCTGAGGGGTGTCTTGAGCATCGGCGGTAATTGGCGGCATGCAGCGGGATAGAGGCCAGAGAATGGGCAAACATTTGATTCCGTGTCATCGGCCGGCCACTGAAAAGGCGCAACGCCATGCGGGACGCGGCAATGCGCGGGGAGCGAGTGGCTGCTCGCCTGCTCAACTACATGACCGAGTGGCTTGCAGCGTGCAGCTGGACTGCCAAAGCAACAGGGAACAACATGAGACCGGGTAGCTACAATGCGGAATGCGGAAAGCTACACCCATGTCTCTGACGCAAAGCGAAAACCACACAACCCAGCACCCACAGCTTACAGACACAGCTACAGTCGTAGTCCCCGATCTATTACCCCTCTCTATACAGCACGTATTACCAGTTGCCCCAGAGCTCGCGCTGGTTCTTGTCCTTGAGAACGCGGACCCACATCTCAGCGTTCTGGCGCTGGATATTCGACTCGAACGCGTCCCACTCGCCGCCGAGTTTCTCGGGCGCGCTGCGCGGGTCGCCGGACCGGCGGAGGCGCTCGAGCGCTGGAATGGCACCCTCGCTCACTTTGCGGTAGATGGCCGACGGGCCCTTGATGTACGTGTACGACGCGGTGTGGCGCTCGCTCACGAGCACGGGTGTGCGTGTGATGATTGCCGCGGCGATTGTGCTGCTCGCCGTGTCGTACAGCGTGCCGCGGCTCGCAAAGGCCGGGATGAGCAGGTCCGCGTCGGCAATGAGGCGGTAGTAGTCGGGATAGCTCAGTTTCTCGTCGACGGTAATCACGTTTTTGAGGGACTCGGGGATGTCGACAGGCGCGCGAGGGTTGCGCTGCCCTACGAGGTGAAGCTCAAAGGGCTCGGACGAGTCGGCTTCAAACACGCCGCCGTCAACCATCTTGTACCCCCACAAACCGGGGTCGGCGTACATGCTCGCGTTGAGGCTGCGGAAGACCTTTTTGTAGTCGCGCCGGCCTTGTTCAATGTTGCCTTGGATGACGGCCTTGCGGGGGAAGGGGGTGACGGTGCGGAACTCTTTGTCTTTGGGGTAGACGAAGCCCTGGGGTTAAGAGGTGAATGATACATTTAGCTCACAGGAATAAACGTCTCCACCTTGACACGCTCCCAGAACTCGTTGTCCTCGGTGTCGGCCCAGTACTGCAATTCGTCCTTGACAGTCTGGTGGACGTGGTGGCCCAGAACAACGAGCTTGATCTGTCCGCGCTGCACCAGCTCCTTGAGCTTCTCCTTGAGGTTGTGTGCAAATGTCGCGCCGCCGTGGTGGACGACACACACGACGTTGGCCGTAGACTTGAGAATATCCTCGTTGAAGTGCTTGAGGCCGTCGGTGCCTGTGGTCAGACGCGCGTCGTCGACAAGCAACGGAGCTGAGTCTGCGCCACTCACATGTCGTGAGGATGAGATTGTCAATCTCGTCCTTTTGCAGCCACTCGCGCACTTTTTCGGCGTGGTTTTGGGAGACGATTTCTGGCTCGTAGGGGAGAATGTCACGCAAGACTTGGTCAAACTTGAAGCGGAAGCGAGCTGCGTGTGTTAGGTGTTACTGTTGTGAAGCTTATCGGGGAGGTGGGGGGAGAAGAGAGGAGTCGTAATCGCAAAAGAGGAGGGCGACAGTGGTGTTGTTGGTGTCGAGAGTGTACGAAGGTATCGAATAGACGAGCTCGACAGCAATGATATACACGCCTGTGGGGGTGTACATGGTGTAGGGGTGTTGCACTTGTAGGAGCATGGGCAAAGTTCCGCAACAAACGTGTCTACCTCTCCGCCTGTCTTCACCGCGCGTAGTAGTGGCAACCCCGACTCACTGGCAAAAGTCATCTCGACGTTGATCTGACTCAACGAATGCCCCAATGCGCCAGTAACCTCGTCGTGGACAGCGCTCTCGTACAAGACTGTGCGTCCGGCGCGGACGGTCGGCAACTCCTTCTGCCATTTTGGGAGGAATGGGACGTCTGGGAGGGATTCGTGGGTGTGGGAGATGGTGATGAGGATGAGGCTGAAAGTTGCTAGGAGGGCGATGAGGACAGCCCTGCGCTGTAGCGAGGCGAGGAGATGGAGCATGGCGAGGACGAGAGAACGAGTGATGATGATGAGAGATGAGAGATGGATGGTGAGCAGCAGAACACAGGAGTCGACAGCAGCGCTCTCTTTGGGGGGGGCACGAGCTGAGGGCTGGAGGGAGTTCTCAGGGTTCATTGTAAATTGTGTCAGGCGGTAGACCCCGGGGAGAAAGGGATGTCTCAGGGAATAATAAGGAACTTACTCGGCCAAAAGAACTGTTAATACTGCAGATTGTTCCTTGTCTTCTCTTCTTGTGCCTCCCATGAGCCTATGGCGAAGATAGGGTACCTCAGGATAACTTTCCCAAACCCTGGGATTTACCTAAAGGTTGGTTGAAACTAACAGTCGATTTGAATTGCCCTGTTTCCTAATCCTCTCGCTTTCCAATTGCCTTTTCTCATCTCCTCCTCCCCTCCTCCCCTCCTCTCCTCGCCATCCTCGGCCTCCGTTCTCCATCCTCTCCGTCTCCGTCGCCGTCTCCGAACTTGGTCTCGTAATCTTGCAGATCATTGATAGCATAGGCTCACACTCCCATTCCGTGGTTTTCATGACTCACGCCGCCCCCCTCCCCCCCCCTCGCTCACCCTTGACAACAAGCTCACCGTGGCACCCAGCAGAGATCGAGGCACCCCCCCACCCCCCTCTCTGAAGCCTCTGGAGCTCTGAAGCCGCCTCTGGCCCCAACGAGGCTCAGCTTTCGAGGTCCCGGGTGCCGAACAACAAGTTTACTAAACTTGCGCTTGGACTTGTCTGCACACTAATAATCAACATTACTAATCCCCCCCCCCAAGTTTCAGGACTCACACGAGCAAGGTGGCGCCCCGTTGGCCGCGTCGTCGAGCTGCGCAGTTTGGACAGGGCGCGCTGACTTCTTGCTCTCCTCATCCTTGTCATCCTCCTCCCTCCTCGTGTGCAAGCCTCATCATCGCGTGATCCCGCGCTCATTGTCCATCCATGCATATACTGTACTGTACAGTATACTTGCGTCCAATGCCAAGACAAGTATCCTCATTTTCTGGGGTCTAACCACCTCTCTGGCGGCACGAACTGGTCTCACGATCTCTTGGCAACCCCTCTCTTGTGACCTCCCCAGTCGCGTGCACAACCACTCACCTCCGTGTCCACTCCACCAGAAACGCGCTCAACGCCCTGCCCTCCGCGCCAACACGGGGAATGTGTGGCGCGCCGTGGCGTGGGCATGAGGGTTGCAGATCGGTCTCTTCTCTACACTTCACCCTCTCGGCTCCTCAGCCCTCCCGCCCCGTGCGCCGCTTCATAGTTCTTACTGACCTCGTCCCCCGCTGGCGCTGGCGTCGGTCTGGGTCCTTGTCCTCGTCCTCGTCCTCGTCCTCCCCTACTCGCTCGCTCTCACCCCTTGACGACGGCGACCTCGTTGCAACAGCACGTCCGTCCATGCGCTTTTCTCCTCTTGATCTTTTCCAAACTCTCTTTCATTCGACTCTCTCTCTCTCTCTCTCTCTCTCTCTCTCTCTCTCTCTCCTCCGAGACCCCGCTGCCATGTTCATGACGCCGCGCATAGCCGCGCTGTTTGTCGTATGGCTGCTCGGCCTCTTCGCCCTCCAACACTGGTTCCTCGGCAACCCCGTTGCACCCCTCCCCCTCTTCCGCCGGCCAGAGGTGCACGACACCAACGCCATTGCCTACGCCAACACGGCTCCAACCGAACGCCCCGAAGACTGGCGGGACAGCGTGGACCCACTGCACCGCGCCTTCGAGCCGCTCCGCCAGCCCCCGTTCTTCCCCCGCCTCAAGCCCACACGCTTCCTGCCCCCAACATGCCTCGAAAGCTGGTTTGCCGACGGCAAGCTCGAGTGCGACCATGCCCTCCTTGGCGATCAAGACACGCTCGACATTGTCTGGCTGTGGGTCAACGGCTCCGATCCCCGCTGGCAACAAGAGTTCGAGTACTGGCACAAGCACCACGGGATCAACAGTGCCGTCCGGCACTTCCGGTAAGCCTCTCCCTGCGGCCAGCTGCCGTCCCAGCCAGCCAGAGACCCAGCTGATCCGCAGGGAACAGAACGAGCTCGTCTACTCGATGCGCAGCGTGCTCGCCGCGCTCAAAGGCGTCATCCGCACTTGCCACCTCATTCTCTGGGACACGGCGTTCACGCCCGACGACGTTCACCTGCTGCCGGCCGAGGCGCGCGACAGCCTCGGCGCAGACCTCGACGACGACGACGACGACGACACGCCCTCGCTGGGCGCGTACCTCTCCAAAGCGTGGCGCGTCGTGCAAACCCCTGCGTGGCTGCACTTTGGGCGCACGCGCTTCGAGTCGACCGAAGAAGACGGGGCGGGGGACGCGCCCATCGAGCGCAGCCCGAGGCTGCGGTATGCCGCGCACAGCGAGATCTACCGCATCCCAAACGTCGACGCGGACGGCGAACCCCTCGAGCCTGGCGAGACGGCGTGGCGCGAGCGCGAGTGGCGCAGCGTCGCGCTCCCGACGTACGACTCGATGAGCATTGAGAGCCGCATTGCGTTCTTGCCGGACATGGCGGACACGGCCGTCGCGTTCAACGACGACTACTTCCTCCTCCGCCCGCTCGCGGTCTCCGACTTCCACTCGCCGCTGTACGGCTCCATCCTGCGCTTCAAGCAGGGCAAGGTGAGTGGTGGCAGCGGCACAGAAGCATCAGAAGCGTGGATCTTGTCGATCGGGCCAATCGACAGATCGCTGGATCGCTAGATCGCCATTCCTTCCCCCGTGTGTCGCTGATCGCTCACACACAGGACCGCGTCCCAAACATCCTCAATCCCAACTACTTCGGCTTCGACGGCGAGTACGGCGGCCTCACGCACGCCAACCACCTCCTGAGCCAGCGCTACCCCGCCATGGCGCGCCCACACCTCGAGCACGTGCCAAAGGTCATCACACAGAGCCTGCAAGTCGAAACGACACTCATGTTCGCGAACATGAGCACTGTGAGTGCGTCCAAGCGCTTCCGTGAGCTGCGGATCGGGCACGGCGACCTGCAAAGCCAGTGGCTGCAAGTGGCGCTGCGCGCCGAGCGCTGGCGCGAAGCGCTGCTGTGGACATGGGCTGTGGCGAAGCTCGGCGGGCCAGACGGGCGGTGGGGCGCCGATGCGCGCGCTGACATCGCGCGCGTGCTGGGCACACACGCGGGCGCGGAGAGCGTAGAAGTGCTCCGTGGCCCGCGCGAGACGCTCAAGCACATGCCCACAAACTTTGCGCATGCGGGATGGGAGCCGCCCAAGGGCACAGAGTACGCGTGGACGGCGTTGGACGGACACATGCCGAGCTCGGAGAACCGGACGGCGGACGCGGCCGAGGCCGACCGCTGCACGCTTGATCTCCAGGAGTGTTTTGGCACGTTCTGGACCGAGCAGGAGGACACGACGGCCGCACACATGTTCAAGCACATCGCGTTCCGCCGCCCCGCGTGCGGCGACTGCATGCTCGTCGCGCTCGTGAGCGCGTGCGGCCCGCTGGGGCTGCGCGAGTTCTTCCCGTCCCCCGAGGCCGCGTACGTCGTCCCGGCGGCCGCGAGGGCGCCGGCATACATCGCCCCGCCGCATCTCCCGCTCACCCCGACGTGGGAGGAGGCCGACTTCAGCCTCCCCAAGGCGGTGGGCAAGACCGCGATGCCAGGCGACTCCGTCCCCCTCCGCCAGTGGTGCATGCACCTCCTCAGCCGTTATCTGTACACTTATGGTGAGTGCCGTGGCCCCGCTAAGCTGACGCCAGGCAAGTCGGACGTCGTGTTCTCCCAGCTCCGCAACCCCGAGCAGTCGGCAGAGCAGCTCGCGTTCCTCGACCGCGCGACCCGGCCCAGCGTGCTCTGCCTCAACGACGACATCGAGAGAAACTATACCGAGGTGCGCGAGGTCGTGGGCAACTGGTTCGAGAAGCGGTGGCCGGAGAAGGCGGGGTGGGAGAGGTAGTGCGAGTGCGCGTCAGCGCGCGAGCTGGGGGAGCTCGGAGTTCCCCCCCCCCCACGGAGGGAGCATCAGCGGCGGGACGAGAGCGTTAGCGCTCGTCAACAGCGCATCAGCGGGGCATCAGTCGGCGTCAGTGAGCGCTCAGCGATGAAGAGTAAAGCGACGAATCTCCGTCGCCAGTTGTCGCAGTATCGGACAATACCAGGATCACATACCATGCAAGCCATCAATTCAGTCGCGCCAGCCGGCAATACTCATACATCTATGTCTACCCTGACCACACATCCCAGGCTCATATCTACACTCTACGAACTACACTCCGTACCGGTGATGCCGCCGCAGCTTGGACAGGATCATGGACGACATGACACGCTTGGCTTTGTACTGAGGGTGGATCACGTCTGTGGGGTTGCTGAACCAGTCGCGCGACATGACGCTCTGGATGCGGACATACTGGGGTTAGTGGTTGTGGGCTTCGTCGGGCCTGGGTAGCTTCACTGCCTCTGCCATCTCGCGACTCGCCATTCGCCACTCGCCACTCGCCACTCGCCACTCACATCCAATGAATCCCACCCCGCCTCAGCAATCCGTGTCCGCATCGTCGCGCGGTACTGCGACTGCCGCCGCCATGTGTACAGCGCGGGATATGACTTGGTGTCGTTCACATCGGCGCCCTTGGCCACAAAGGTCTTGCCGTCTGGTGTCAGCTGTGTATTTTGGCCTCGGCCCGTCCTATCTTGAGCTCTGCATTCCGCAATCTGCTCCCCACCTCCCAGCGCCTCTGTCCCCTCCCCCCC